ATGTTGTAAGATCACTATTATTAGTGCATATAGCCCATCTTTTAATATTTTCAATTAGTTAATTTTTTATAATAAATTACACTGGTTGCATAATTTGAATCCCAAGAGTATTTACTTCACGATTTTAAATGTAATTTACCATTTTTGTACTTTGTTATTTTTTTATTAATAACTTACCTTATTTTCATTGCGGATTACTTGCGCAACTTGGTATCATATTTATTTCTTTGTTAAAATAATTTACCTTTAGTTAATTCGGTTTTAATAACTTATCTTATATTGAATACAAATTACTTGGGAAAGTTGATATCATATTTACTGTAGAGTAATTTATGACAATATAATAGTTATCTTAATGTTGTAAGATCACTATTATTATCCCATATAGCCCATCTTTTAAATATTTTCAGTTAGTTAATTTTTTTATAATAAATTACACTGGTTAAATAATTTGAATCACAAGAGTATTTACTTCACGATTTTAAATGTAATTTACCATGTTTATAATTTGTTAATTTTTTATTAATAACTTACCTTATTTTCATTGTGGATTACTTGTGCAACTTGGTATCATATTTATTGTTTTGTTTAAATAATTTACCTTTAGTTAATTCGGTATTAATAACTTACCTATTGATTACGAATTGCTTGGGCAAGTTGATATCATCTTTACTGCAGACCAATTTATGAAAGTATAATAGGTATCTTAATGTTGTAAGATCACCATTATTAGCACATATAACCCACCTTTTAAATATTTTCATTTTTCAGTTAGTTAATTTTTTAATAATAAATTACACTGGTTGCATAATTTCAATCCCAATAGTATTTACTTCACGATTTTAAGTGTAATTTACCATGTTTGTAATTTTTTAATTTTTTTATTAATAACTTACCTTATTTTCATTGCGGATTACTTGCGCAACTTGGTATCATATTTATTGATTTGTTTAAATAATACCTTAATGTAAAATCAAGTCTTACTGCTAACATCAAATTTATTTTATTTACTTTGCAGAAACTTATCAAGTCTTGAGCTTTGGAGCGCTTTGAAACATACTTGATTGATTGNATTTATTTTATTTACTTTGCAGAAACTTATCAAGTCTTGAGCTTTGGAGCGCTTTGAAACATACTTGATTGATTGAGTTCTCTTACAGAATCTGTCAAATTATATATACTGTCAATTATGTTCGTGTTTCTATGAGATTATTTTAATTCATAATTGTTCTTCTTATTTTATATTACTTATGAATTATATTTAAATTTTTTATCACATTTTCTATGGGATTGTGATATCTATGAGATTTTTATCACATTTTTAATGTCACTGTCTCCTGTATATTTTTCTTACATTTGTTTTTTAATAATTAAATTTTATTAAAAACATACTAATGATGTTAAATTTTTTTTACTTTAGTTAACTTTTATTTTTTTTATTCTTATATACTTTTGTGACTTTTTTATTTTTTTGTTTCAGTTTAATATTGAATTTATTTCACATACTTTATGTGTATATGTTTTAAAACATAATTTTTCTTTTAAAAAATTAAGCGACAAAGAGCCTAATTAAACCCGAACTGAATATAAATTGAACTGGGCATAAACAACACTGAACCAGACTAAATAAGGTTTATTTCAGTTGAAAAATATATTAAAATCGAACTAAGCAAACCAAACCGAAAAAGTAACGATTTGCCCACCCCTACTACATCCTAGAGATTTGCGCTAATCTTTTCTCAGCATTGAAACTCTCAATTGTTCCACTAACTCCCACATTTGAACTCAATAGATACTCCTGTCTCAGCATTATACTATATTTTTATCGCACAGGGTGCGGGCCGGTCACCTAGTAAACATTAAACCCACTAAATTATAAGAAAGTACATAAATGAAACGCAGAGTATTGCTATGCTGGACATGTGTCATTCCAAGAAGAGAGCAATTGATGACGTGGACGAACATGAGGCAGGAAAACCCTCTTTTATATTATTAGATAGTAATAGACCTGAAGTTGTTATAATGTCTTAAAAGAGTGACTGTTATTGTATTACAATATGTCAAATGAAAATAATATATATTTTATATTTACACTTAACTTATTGAAATTTGAATCCTAAAATACGATTTAAGTGTTTGTAATTAAATTAAAACAATCAAGAATAAAAAATTTCAACGTAATTATTCACTAGTTTGATAATGTAACTCATAACAACAAATAAAACAATCATGTTAAGAACCGTTTGGTGGTTGACCCATATCCGGACGGGACTAAACCGGGCCGAGCTCGTACGCAGGACCAGAAGCCCATTCGAGGTTCTACTGGATCATCTTGGGTCTATCCGAGTTATGCCATAGGCGGTTGAGCACATCTTATCCTTATCCTCGTTTAATCCTTATCCTTATCCTTGTTGTACATGGTTATCTTTATCCTACTAAGATTATGATTATCCTTTTGTTTATGACGGTTTACAACATGTATATATATGGATCTTGATATGAATAATACACAACACAACCTTTTATTCACGACACGTTATCAGCACGATAGAACCTACCCTAAGCTAAAACAAAAATCCGACTTCCAAAACAAAACCCTAGCCGACAATAAACCCTAAACCTGGAGGAACCCTAATTCCGATTATTCTTCCGGCGAGAAACCACCCTCTTGTTTCCGGATCAGCTCAATCCGACGATCATCCAGCTTGTCCAGCTCTCGTCTCAGCTCCAATCCAGATCGCGGTTCTTCTCCTTGGTGGTCCGGTTTCAACCTACTTGAATTAAGGTAAAATCGAAGCTCTAAAAGAGAACCCACATCGAATTGGTTGCTTGATAAGGATTTGAACCATAAAATCATGAATTGATAAAACCCTAATCTAGGATAATAGAAACCCTAATTGATAAGGAACTAGGTTTTGGTTAGATTGATTGTATGTTAGGTTGATAGATCAATGGTCGCTAAGTTGCTAGAAGCATGAGTTCTTCTCTCCTAAATCGAGATTGATTTGATCAATTAAAATCAAAACCCTAATCGGTTTTGAATCTCAAAACCTAAAATTAAAATCGATTTTGTTTTGATTATTTGATTGTTGATTGATCATGTTAATAACCTGAGAGCTAGGGTTACTAGATCTATTGTTCTGGAATCTTGAAACCCTAATTCTTGATTGAAACCCTATAACCCTAATCTGAAAATTGCTTGAATCCGTTTAGTATTTATGATTTTGGTAAATCTCTAATATGATTGACGTTGTTGATTGAGAGTTAGGTTGATAATTTGATTGATCTCATAATCTGTTTTCTAAAAACCCTAATATCGAATATGAAACCTTAAAGGCCTTGAAACCTTAAAATCGCACACTGCTAAATTTAATTGCTAGTTTTCTAAACTAATTTGAGGTTTAGGATCAGTGGCTAGATTAATTGTTTTTAAACGCCAATCTGAAAGCCTAAACCCTAAGTTGACCACACTTGTTTCTGAAACCCTAAATCCGCATAAACCCTAATTCTGATTCATTGCCTTTGATTGAAAGTTAAGTTGCTAGATTTCTTGATTTTCATATTCTGAATTAAGAAACCCTACTTGCGGATTGTATTTATTAAACTATAAACCCTTAGTGAATTCGTATGCTAGTAATTGCACTGTGGTCGTATGGCCTTTTGTGCATAATAATCTTGCCCCATACAGATCATCTAAATCCTAAGCTTGTTTGCATCATATGATAGAAAGCCGTGGGTTAGTACATATTTATGTGGCTGTGTGGCCTTATATTCATCATCTTTGAGATTACTTGTTTTGATTGATGCATTGGTTGTATGAATTCTAAATCTTGAATTGATTGATAATATGATTTCAGATGTCAAAATTTGAGCCCTTGGATTATGCTGCCCTAAATCTCTCTGGAGATAATTATCTAGAATGGACAATGAACACTTCAGTTGTCCTGAAGTTAAGAGGACTCAGTAGGAGTATCATTCAGGATAATTATGCAACTGAAAGTGAAAATTATAGGGCTAAGACAATTATGCACCAAAATCTCACTGAGGATATCAGTACCTAAATATTGAGAATCCTCGTGACCTTGGACAGAATTAAAATCCAAATACACAATGGTGTTATTACCAAAGGTCAGGCATGAATGGATGAGTCTCAGATTCCAGGACTTTGAGTCTGTGGATGAATATCACTTGACTTTGACCAAGATACACGTTTGCCGTGTATTTACTATCTAGACTTAGCTCATATCCGACCTAAAGGCACTGGGGCGGGATTAGACGTTTTCTATCAAACTTCACATAATGTTTTAGGTCGTGAGCATGTCCTTGTCAAAAGCTGCGAGTGCGTTGCAGGCTGTGAGTGAGCATGATACTGTCCCTGAGCCATGTCATTGCAGCAACATCAGGCAGCAATATCTTAGCCATTCATGGGAAAGTTGTGGGCATGTGTGGACAAGGTCCATGACCTAACATGTATGTTTCAGTGCGCGGTGTGGTCCACGGAAAGGAAGGTCATGAGACGCCATCAAGATATAAGTGTGGAGGTCCATGAATCAATATGGGTCGATCAGATTGCAGCATGGTCGATGCTAATTAAAGGACCAACTATCATGCCATTGGAGAGGAGAAGAAGATCACCCCAGTCCGTGATCAATTCAATAAGAAGCTGCAAGTGGTCCACATACAAGTCTGGAAATAATCTCCAATCAGCCAAAGTTCTTGTGTGTATGTTATGTCGACGTCCGATCAAAGCATGTAAAGAAGCACGTCCGGTCCAAGTATTATTCACTCACGAGTTTCCAGAAGTCATGAGAGGTCCAAGCATTACAAGATCGTTCAAGTGAGAATTCAGCTGCTATCTTTACCAAGTCACTCCCAACCTTGACCTTCAGGAAGCTCATACATCATATTGGAATGCGTCGATTGAAAGACCTTCAGTGATGCATTCATCAGGGACAGCTCTCTATACTTCGACTTCAGAGGAAATAGAGTGGAGCTTTTTAATGGCCAAGCTATTAGGAGAGATGGGTCGTCCCAAAGACGCACGCCAAGTGTTCGAAGAAATTCTCCAACGAAACCCGCTTTCCTTTGAGGCTTTGTTCGAGAACGCGTTGCTCATGGACAGGTATGGGGAAGGAGACGTGGGGCTGCAGAGGCTGGAAGATGCGTTGGCTGTTGCTGAAGATGAGAATATGGTGAAGGAGATTAGGGATGTGAGGCTGATCATTGCGCAGATACAATTCTTGCAGAAGAATGTGGATGAAGCATTGAAGAGCTATGAGCAGTTGACGAGAGAGGATCCTAAGGAGTTTAGGCTGTATTTCTGTAGAGGTATGATTTATAGTTTGCTTGATAAGAATGTTGAAGCTAAGGAGCAGTTTGCGAAGTACAGAGAGCTGTCTCCAAAGAAGATTGAAGTTGAAGGGTATGCGTCAACTGAAAACCTTTAGTATATTGGCATAGTACTGATCTGGACAGCTGTAATCAGCCAACATTCTGGGTCGAGCAGCCTCGTCTGCAGCTTCTACAACTTCTGCAGATTCAGTATCAGGCTCATGGATTGCAGCCCCCTGAGCATTTATCCTTTGATCTGATTCATTATGCAGATGACCTTCTAGGTCATGCAGGTTTCCATCCTCATCATGTCTTCGAATTAGTGTTGTAACCATGTCTTGCGGCTGAGTATCGATTGATGTCCAAACTTAAGTGTCGATCGATGTCGTGTGGAGAATGTCAGTCGACGGTGGTAAGCGAATGTCGGTCGACGAACTAGTGTTGCTTTCCCTTGATGTGATTTTTCCTTGCAAATAGAACATTCCCAACTTTCAGGATCCTCTGAGAATAACAGTGATTTTTCCTTGTTACTTCTGGTACTGTTGGGCATGCACATGAACGACAAGAAAAACATTTGTGTCAGAAAGTGGTTTAAAGAAGTAACCAACACATACAAATAAAAACTTACACAAAAGTTATATTTTTAACACAAAGCAATACATCACATCTTGTGTTTAACGATAAATTAACACTGTTATGATTTTGATTGAATCAACCATAATAAATTCAAACATTTATACTTTGTGTGTTATGACATTTGGATAAGCCGTATTCATTAAAGAACTAGATCATCACTATTAAAGTTTTCTTATTTTCCTTACATTTACTTGATGAAAATCCTTCGAGTTTTACTTAAATTTTCAATGTTTTTTTCTGATATCTGGTCGGGTGTTTCATAATTTATCTAAACCTGATTAAATGTTTTGCGATTTTATATTTATAAACTAAAAATCTACAAACTAAAATCTTAAAAAGTGTTCTTTGAATTACTATCACAGCAAATTCAAATGGAAAAATGATAAGTATAGTTTATTTTATGAGCGTTTTGATTTATAAAATTTTAATGATTAGAAAAGCTCATGTAATTATGTATAGGTGCAAGTAGGCCTCGCGTTCAGATACTCGTTCAGATTCAGATAGGGTATTTAGAGGTTTTGGATTTTCGAGTTTACTCTTTTAGGTCTCATTCTAATATTTTATTAGTACCATCAGGTTCAGATAATAACAATTCGGGTTTGGTTCAAATTTCTATGGCATCCAAAAACTCATAAACTAATCATATATCGTTTTTATTCATGTTATATCGGTTCGATTCAGATATATCTATATAATATTATTTGAGAAGTCAGTTTTCTACTCTTAAGGAATTCAAAATATTACATTTAATTACCATTATTTAATTTAGTTTCCTTTTTATTTGATAATTTATTTAAATTATATTTTAATTTAATTTCCTTTTTCTTATTTCTCAATAACACATATAATAATAAGGAAAAAAGTTATTTTTTTTAAAGCAAAAATTTAATAACATTAAATAATTTGATTACATAAAAAAGGAAAGTTAACAAAAATAATCATGCTATTAATAAAAATAAGAAACTAAATATTCTATATTAATTTTTTATTATTGTTTCTACATATAAATTATAGATACCTCTAAGCAAATTAAAATAAAAATAAAATATAAACAATTTTAAAAATTAATCTCTTTTGTAAAATATATATGCATGAGATTTAAAATATAATGTTTATATTTTTAATGTAATCTTTAATAAATCCACAATTTAGTTTATTTTATCTATTGGATTCTCAAAAAAAAAATATTATGTCATACAAAATCTCACTAAAATGTATTTTAGCAAACAGTCACCTAAAGTAAAATAAAAAAAAATAAAAATGTTAATATATTTTGAGAAACAAAATATTAGGGTTGAAAATATATGAAATATAATAGGGAAAATTTTACTTTTACACATTCTCTAGTATCACTATTCAATTTTATCTTCCAAACAAGCACATTTTCATAAATACCTAACTTATTAATATGCAAATGACTAAAGTGACCCTAACTTATTAGGTTTCTTCCAAATCACCATCTTTCTCTGGAGAAAGCTTCCGCCGGCAGTACAAAACATCTACTCTCTCACGACAAGAGCATTCACACTCTCGATTACAGAAAATGAAGACTCAAAACTATCCGTGCTTTATCATCACCACGATTCTCTTTTGACTCGTGACTCTGAGCGTATCTTCTTCACCAACTCCAAGCTTCATCTTCATCTTCGAGTATGGAGATTCATCTTCATCTTCGAGTTTCAAATCTGTTCCTTCTTCATCTTCATCTTTAAGTTTCGATTCTTTTACTTTTGTTGTGTCACGTTTAAAAATTTAGATCAAGATTCATAATCCAAAAAAACTCTGCTTTTCACAACTCGTATCTTCATCTTCATCTTTAAGTTTCGATTCTTTTACTTTTGTTGTGTCACGTTTAAAAATTTAGATCAAGATTCATAATCCAAAAAAACTCTGCTTTTCACAACTCGTATCTTCATCTTTATGTTTATAGTGGTAGTGATTTACGAGTTTAGGAGTTTACAGTAATAGTGATTTAGGAAATTCAATCTAAGAGGAAGAGTATTCAGTTATCTATGGAAGATTGTTCTAAGCATATATTGTGCAGGGATGCTGCTGCTCTAGCTCATTTCTGGGCTTGTCTAGAAGAAGAAGTGCACAAGAATGAAAACTTAACAGAGGTAGATGTCGCTAACAAGCTCCTGGAATTCCGTTCAGTGCAAGATGGATTTATGGAGACAAGCTTCGATACGGTAAGTGGTATGGTTACTGTCATCCTTACTGCTGGAGCTTGCCTCTCAATACAGAATATATATTCAGTTACTGATGTGCACTCCTTTCCTCAAATTATTCCTGCAGGTTTCGGTGCAAACGGAGCTATTATTCATTATAAACCAGAGCCAGAGAGCTGCAGTCGTGTAGACCCTCAAAAACTTTTCTTACTCGATAGTGGAGCTCAATTTGTCGATGGAACAACAGATATAACCAGAACAGCGAATTTTAGTGAACCTTCTACCCGAGAAAAAGAATGTTTCACCCGAGTTTTGTAGGTGTGGCACTTGGCTCTTCTTTTAACCATCTTTCTTGATTGTAAATATTGAACAAAGAGAGCTCTGTGGGATGACTTTGTCTGATTGTTTTTTTTTTGTTGCAGGGTCATATAGCTCTTGATCAAGCCGTGTTCCCAGAAGGTAATCCTAGCTTTGTACAGGATGGGTTTGCACGCTCTTCTCTATGGAAAATCGGACTTGATTACTGCCATGGTGACTCTGTTCTCTCATTTGAACTTTCTTCACAGAACAATTTTTTTTGTTGAAGGAACCCATGTTGATCTAATATTTTGCCTGCTTAACAGGGACAGGACACGGTGTAGGTGCTGCATTCAATGTGCATGAAGGTCCTCAAAGTATTAGCTTTCAGTATGGAAACATGACCCCTATTCAGAATGGCATGATAGTATTAGCTTTCAGCTTTTGGAATCAGAATTGAGGTGCGGCTTGGTGTCACCAGTCCATGATTCTCGTTATAAGATTGTATCAGATTAGTTAGGTAACAATTATATGGGTTGCTTTTGCAGAATCTCCTTCATGTGAAAGATGCTGAAACACCGAACCGCTTTGGTGGTGCTACGTACCTTGGATTTGAGAAGCTTACATTCTTCCCCATTCAGGTAAATAGTGACTTATAAATCATTCTAGCTTCTCGCTTTTCTTTTCATCTTTATCTCACGCAATTCTCGGTTACCAAATTATGAAGACAAAGATGGTTGATGTTTCTTTACTATCTCATGCTGAGATCGACTGGCTCAATTGTAACCACGCTGAAGTCTGGGAAAAGGTTAGTCCACACAAGACCTACATATGCCTAGAAAGCCAGATCATATCAAAACATGGCTTTACTTTTACTTACAGCATAAGTTGTTTTAACCGATGGATATGTCCTTGGCAGGTTTGACCTTTGTTATAAGGTCCTACTCAGCAATGGCTCTGGAACAACACTCATCCCTTAGCCAAACCATGATCGAACCAAACCAAGTGTTATTCCCACTTGCAAACTCAGTAGACTTGAATCCTGAGATTATAACCAAAACATGATCCTTTCATTTGATTGCTTGTGTGTTGTGTCAAATTATAAAATGTAACATTTTCCTGTAATTTTACTACAAAAAAAAAAAGAATAAGTCATGCTTTTATAGGTGTTCTCGAATTAAAACAAGTATCTCTTCCAGATGTTAAACTTAACCCCAAAAACCTTTATAAATCAGTTTATAAAGAGAAAAATGTATTAGATCCCTGTAATTTTAAATAGGAAGAAAGATCGTGTATTAGATTTATAAGACATGATTTTTTAAATCCTTATAAATGATTTATGGGAACCTTTATAAATCAGTTTATAAACTCTTATAAATCAAACTTATAGACTATCTACTATAAATAAAAGGGGCAAATTAAAGTATATGGGAGTGTCCACGTCACTTAAAATAATCAGCCAATGAGGACTTTTCGTTTGTCCATGTTACCAGCGCACAATTACAATTGGGCTGAAATATGTTGGGCTTCCTAATCGATATGCCCCACCCCAAGTCAAACCCAACTTTCGGTCCAACTTCCGTATATCACCAAACGCATCATCTTCTTCAAGTTTCATCTTCTTCCAATCTCTGTTACCAGTCCTCTACAATTAATCAAACCGTAGCTTGCTGCAAACCAAAACCCTAAAACCTGCTCTAAGTAAGCTCAACCCATGAGACCCCACTCCGCAAGAACCTGAAACCGGAACTCCTCCACTCCTTGCCAACTTCTCCTGGCCGAAAACAGGTCAATGAACGAGTCGAACTCGACAGGCTCCGGTGAGAAAACTGTCGGCGGAGACGGTGAACAGGCTCGTGGTGAAAACACGGATCCCGATCCGGTAAACACGGCGGAGGAAGGGTCGGAAGGGAGTCTGTCGGGAGAGTCATGGACGTCAGGGAGGAAGTGAAGAAGGAAACGACGGAAAGATAATGACGGGTATATATACTTGCACATACAAGAGAGTTTTGCATAGTTGATAATTTATCTTAAACTTGCGATCTACTCTGATGCTGGGTATATATACATAACAAAGGGCTTAAACTTGTGATCTACTCTGATGCTGGGTATATATACATACACATACAAGAGAGTTTTGCATAGTTGATAATTTATCTTATTTCTCCTGGATATCTAGGACTCTTACCTGCGACCAAACCATACTGGGAACACTTGGGCATGAGGAACAAGATGCTAAAACATTTGCATCACGGGTATGTATGTAGTTATGTAGTTATGTGTGCGAGTTTTTTATTTGAGCTCAAATCCTAAACCTTGAAAGTCTTTTTTTGTGATGGTGCCACAGTGGATTTGATTACTTGAAGTATGATAACTGCTTTAACACATGGACAAGTCCAAAAGAAAGATACCCAAAGATGAGCAACACTCTGATAATTAAGACAATCCGTCTCCAAGAGCTTACTTCAAATGTGCTTGTGCTCCAAGCTGTTGTATCAAAAAGAAGGTCCTAATAATCAAGATTAAGATAATAATCAAATAGGTTTGCTTGTTAGACATATATATTAACCTGATTCTGATTGTCTTCAGGTTCAAAGAAGTGTGGAGGATCAGTCTGTGTTGGTAGCGACTTATGAGGGTGAACATAACCATCCAATGCCGTCTCTGATCGATCCAAACAATGGCTTAAACCGCTACATCTCTCTTGGTGGTCACGCTGCACCTGCAGCCAACGGAAGTAAAAATTTGGCTGAGCCTGTGACTAACGTTGATTTGACTGAATCCAATAAAGTCACTAGCCCATCAAGAATGGATTTTCCAGAAGTTCAGAAACTTTTGGTGGAGCAAATGGCTTCTTCGTTGACAAAAGATCCTAACTTCACAGCCGCATTAGCAGCAACTGTTACAGGGAGATTGTATCAACATAATCAGAACGAAAAATAGTTATGTGTATGTGTGCGAGTTTTTTTATTTGAGCTCAAATCCTAAACCTTGAAGGTCTTTTTTGTGATGGTGCCACATGGGATTTGATTACTTGAAGTATGATAACTGCTTTAACACATGGACAAGTCCAAAAGAAAGATACCCAAAGATGAGCAAAGCTCTGATGAACTCAGGAAGATCTATATTCTTCTCTTTGTGCGAATGGTAAAAAGCAAAAGATAAGTCATAGAATTTTCTTTCAGAAAACTTTTGTCTGACGATGAAACTGAGTTGCAAATGCAGGGGACAAGAGGATCAAGCAACTTGGGCAGGAGATATTGGTAACAGTTGGAGAACAACAGGAGATACAAGATAATTGGAAGAGGTTTCTCTTCTTTTATGGCCTTTTCATTTGCAATCTTAATGGAACAATAACTTAAAGATGAATATTTTCATATAGCAAAAACTGAAATAGGTAAAGATGAGGAATTGGATTATAACCATTTAAGACTTGATTAGCTTTTATTCTTTCTAATTTACATATATTTTAGATATTAAAAGCAACAAAGTTAAATTTTATATAGTTTCAAAGTCAATAATTAGTTTAGTTTTCAATGCTGTAAAAATATACATGTATCTATACACAAATAAAATAATATATAAATTTATATTTTGTTATAAGTTCAAAATTATTTTTTCACTTTTATCAAATTAAGTGAAACATATATTTGTCTTCTTTTTGGTGACAAATATTTTTTGATATTAACTTTTAATAATATTATAAATTATTAAATTAATTCATTAACTTTATTATTGATTTTAACTTTAATAATATTATAAATTATTAAATTAATTCATTAACTTTATTATTGATATTAATTTTATATGTTTACTAATTATTTTAATAGTAGAAATTTTCTACTATTAAAACAGAAAACATGTTCTACTTAAAAGTTATAATATAAAAAACATTTATGTTTTAGTAAAACTGATATCTAATTCATAAAATATTACAAAAAGGGAATTCTAAAATGATTTTTACCGCTTGAATTATTTGTGAGGCTGGAGGGGTTGTGATCCCAAGTCCAAACTCTGTTTTTTTTTTCCTGGTGGAGAAAAAACATTCAGAGATTTTGTTTGGTAAACAAAGTTCTTAAACAAAGTAATTTCAATCAAGTTTTTTTTTTTTCCTGGATACTAAATATTTTAGTATCCAGTCTCCTTAAACTTAGAAATTCAGAGACAGAGAGTATATGCTCTTACTTCTTGCACATTGACTTCCGGCCGGTAACATCATATTCTTCTTCTTTTTTCAAATGTAAGCAGTACTAAATTCACATAGAAAGCACCTACTTTGTTAGATGCATTAGCTATGATTAAGCATCAACAATCACCAAAACTATTATATGAGAAAAATGAATTTTGTGATCATACGACGCAAACACAAGCATATGAGGACAAGTTATCTACACTTCACTTTACTATATTAATGAGATTTGAGATGAATTAACAAATCAACAAGACATGAGTTTTAAAATCCATCCTCACAAACAAAACTTTCCTGCCACAACAATGGCTACTTGCCTGAGTTTTATTTTTAAAAAGTAATATGCAACTATTCTTATTCTCATTTAAAATTGTTTTGTTTTTTCTAAAACATAGATTGGTTGTAAGTTACACTGCACACAAATGAACATATATGTTATGCGGATTTCAGTGATTATTTTCAACTCAATGTAATCTTTTTTTATATATCAATAGGCAAAGCCATATGTGGCCAGCTTCGGTTTTAATGAGGCATGTAATCAGTAAATCTCAAGAAACTAAGGTCATAAGAAACCATGGATGAAAACTTTTTCTCCGAAGGGTTTTTGGAATCAAAAAGACTTTTAAAATGAAAAAAATATGCATACCTATTATTTGTATAATTTACATAAAAGTATGGAAAGAGGAAGCTAGATTACAAAAACAAATACAATTAAACAATATGTATTGATATATGGCTATGATCCAAAATTAAATCTCTCCGGAAAAATAAACAACATACATTACATTATACATATGCAAATTAAAACCAGTTACTAACAGAAAAGGTAATATGAACCTAACACTGTTTTAACATAAAAACTCAAATACTGAAACAAGACAATCCAACATACATACACTCAGAAATTGTGTTTAAAGAATAAATAATAACAAATCTTTTGTGAAAATATTCAGAGAAAACTATTTAAAATAGAAATACTTAAAAGTTTATTAAATTAAATACAAACTAAAAATAAAATAATATATAATAATATAAAATATAAAATATAAACTGATTTTTTAAAATAAATAAATTAGTTTTAAACTTTAGATAGCAAACTAATTTTAAATGTAAACTGAAACTAATATTATATTTTTTAAAATATTATTCACAGTTTAGATACATTATTCCTAAAATTTAAAATATCAATATAAATTTTAAGATTTTTGTGAGTTTGAAGGTTTTTAAATTTTCATTTGAACTTATAAATAATTTGGACATAAAATGAGTACAGTTGTAAAACTAAGTGTATTAAAATGAATAAATAATTAATTTAGGTATGAAATTAGATAATACAAAAGTTTAGGTATTACAAAGCTTAATAATATTTCATTGATGTATTTTCATGGATTTTTTCCAATGACAAATTAATAAATATATAAATATTTTATTAAATTAAATATAAACTTACGCAATTCAATTGACATAATAATACAAAGACGTTTTCAAAAAATAAAATATTAAAATACACTATCCGCGCGTAGCGCGTAAAAAGGATCTAGTTATAAATAATACATTTCATAAATTAACAAACAAACCTTAATAAATTAGTTTAGAAACCTTTATAAATCAGTTTAAAATTCTTATAATCACATTATAAACCTTTGTAAATCATTTTATGTCTTTATAAACACTTATAAGTCATTTATAATCTCATATAAATCAAATTCAATTTATAAACATTACAAATAACAGAATCAAAATAATTAGAGAATTTCCAACCATCACTAGATTGTGAGTAAAGTGTTAAATACATGGAAATTTAAGTTCAAAAGAAAGGAGTTGATAGGAACCAAGCCACAACTTAACTATAACAATCTCATGGAATCAGCGTTATCAAGGATCACATGGCAGCATTGGAGAATGGAAAATGTCTTGATGGGAAAGAGACTCTGGAGTCTATCTCTTTCTATCAGACTGTGGGAACCTGGTGGTGTTTTGATTACGATAGCGGAGGGGAATGGATGGGAGACATGTCATATATATGGTTGGCTGATGAGAGTGACAGGTGTTGGTGGTGAGAACAAGAATGCACGTTTGCTATATGTTGTGGGTGTGATGAACCTTGCTGGCCACGAAGTGCTAGAGATGCAGGAATGGTTTTATAAAACATGGAACTATATGTACAAGAAGAGAGAGCACAAGGAATGTTCCAAGAGTTGCCTCGTTTTATTTCAGAATTTGGAGTGGCAGTATATGATTTTGGAACAGGAAATCAGTTGTGCTATTTCAGTGAAACTCTCCCAGTCATGTCAGCTAAAGAATGTACATTTTTACATCAAGAAACTATTGAGGAGTCTAAGGAGATAGGGCAGTCACTTCAAGAAGATATTTCTAGTGGAGGCACAAGAGAAGGAAAGGCTACTGGTCTCTATTTTTCTCAGGAAAAAGAATATATTCAGAGCAAAAGAGGGGTTTATGTGTTGGAAGTTGGGGTCAGCTGGCGCAAGATGACATAGAGAAAGAAGAGCTCCATGATAAGCAACCTAACATGACTGGATCAGATGGAGAGCATGGGCTTGGAGGTTCTAACTACTGGATCTCCAAGGTCAAGATCGTGGAGATACATACTCAGCATTTGCTCCTTAGGGATAACATGTATTACCTTGCTGCAGAGGAAGTTTACCGAGATAATGCTGAGGCTTTCGTCATTACTGAACTCAAGCTATACCTAAGGATGAATTACACTCTGTTTTTGGCAATGATGTTGAGATTGCTGAGGAAGATGATTACCCTTCCTATTTCATTATTCCAGATGTGGAAATCATACCAGGGGAGATAACAACGACCTCTGAAACAAAAAAGAAATATACATCACTTATTTGAAAAAGTGCAGTTGGGAGGAAAAAAAATGCAGACAAGACAACATAAACTCCTCAAATCCTGGAGATTCAAATTCAAGAACATTGCAGCACCACGATACACCAAAGAGAGGAATGATATGGTTCTTGTTGCTTTAACAGTTTCAGTGCTTCCATTATTGTTTTTCTGCATGCTAGTCTTTCAGCATACATGACTAATAAAGTACCACAAAATCATATCATAGAAACAACTGAAAGATGAAGTCTCTTTGAATCCTCAAAGGCTGTCCATTTCATCAGCTTTGTACAAAGACTGAACGATGAAATCTCTTTATATAAACGTTTATATAATCAGTAAAACAGAAATATAAAACATCTAATAAAAGTTTATAAAACCATTCACAGAGACATAAAACTATTTATAAGAGATCATCTATAATAGTTATAAAACATTTATAAATCTTTATAAAGATTTATGAGAATATGAGCTTAGATTTCTAATAAGATTTTATAGGTTTTATAAAATTTATAAATGTGTATAAACCGTTTATAATGATTTATAAAGTTTTACAAACCATTTATAAATGTTTTATAAATCATTTATTAGAGTTAGTTAATCTTTTTTAAATGGTTATAAGCAATTTTATAACTCTATAAACCATTTTTAGAACTTAATAAACTATATCTTATAAATTATTTATAAGGGCTAACTAGATCATTTATAAAGCTTCATAAAATCATTTGTAAGGATTTAAAAAATCATATAGATCAATATTATTCATAGCTTTATCTATAAGAGCTTATAAATATATTTTAAAAGCTTATATAAGAGTTTTATAAGGGTTTATAAAAATATTTATATGGATTTACAAAACTGTTTAAATAATCAAATGCATCAAGAATATATGTGTAATTTATAAATCATTTATAAATGTTTATAAATGATTTACAAAGATTTACAAATCTTTTATAAAAGTTTATAAATCATTTATAAGATCTATTAAATTAATTATAAAGGTTTATATACCATTTTAGAATTTAATAAACCATTTATAAAAAAATTATAAATATTAAAAAAATTAAAAAAAAACGAAATTATAAATAAAAAATAAATAAACCAAATTATAAATAAAAAATAAATAACTAAATATTTATAAATAACTAAATAATATACAATTAATAAGTTTTAAAATTCATAATATACAATTAAAAACTAAAAAAACTAAAAGGGATGTTGCTCGTGAAATTGCTGCACGAAGTCGTCATCTCCAATGTTGGATGCCGGCTGTGACTGTGATGGTGGAGGCTGTTGGGGTGGAAGGGCTCCGCTTTCCCGTCTCTGACGCAACATTTCCGCCACTTGCCGGTTTCCAACCGCCATAATGTCGACGATCTCGGTTAGCGTACTCAGATGAGACTGCGTCGCCTGCAACTCCGTCCGCAGCTGAGCATTGGCATCATCCTGTTGGTGAACATAAGCCGATGTCACTGCGGGGACATCGTTAACCGAGCCAATCCCGACAGTACGGCCATTTTTCCTAGGGACGACTTGTAAATAAAAATATTAATAACGTAAGGAAAAATTTAAATAAATAATAAAAATTAATATTAAAACAAATTATTTACCTCCTCGTAAATCTTATCCACTTCAAGAGTGGATAATACGACTGGAGCCCCAGTCTGCTGAGTCAGCTGGGTCTAGCGTTCGTCAACTCGGGCTACAACCTTGTTGTAGATCCGCTCGGAAGCAGGATCCACAAACTGCCCACCCTTTTTCCGGTGGGTCCGCTCGTAAAGGTCTTTCAGAGATGGAGAAACTCATGTATGTAAATATCAGAGAGCAGAGGCTATTCCCTTAACAACTACAAGTCTTTCTGGCCAAGAAAGAACAGGTTTCGTCTCATCAAACAAAATCTCGTCAAGACTACCGTTTGGCATGTACTCTGAGACCAAAAGAAGCTCACGCTTTCTCCTGCAGTAACCGAAAAGCGGAACAAGATTCATGTTTTTCAGACATCTCATGGACACGACCTCAGCCACAAACTGCTTAACACTTTCATCACCATTGTGGGAATCTCTCTCCACTGCTATATTTCTCCCTTGAGGAAGGTTTCCTCTCTAGACTTCACCAAAACCTCCTTTTCCTAGAAACTCATCTTTACTAAACCCTTTTGTTGCTTTGTATAAAGACTTGTAAGAGAACCGATGCGCATCAAACTCTTTTTCCCATGTTTCAGAAACTTCTGAAAACTTCTTCCTCCGGTGGAAATAAATACCTGCAAGAACAGCCAACACCATAACCACCACACAAACAACCAGAGCAATAATCCACATGTAGGTTGCTTCTTATGCCGAGCTGTAGGATGAACTGTAGAAAGAGGTTTAGGACGAGGAACTTGAGGAAGTTTTGAGATGTCAAGTCACTGCAGCGATGATTCTCCTTTCCTTGTGCTGAAACTCCACCAAAGAATATAGTGATCACTCACATCGTTCCCTGTTGCAGCAGAGAGTCCAACAAACAGTTTTGATCTATTCGGAAAAATATCTGAAAGGTTGATTGGTTGTGACAAAAGAGGTAGACTTGGCTTCTTGACTTCAACGGTTGCCAACGAGACATTGAGCATAGAGCCATCATAATCCACACATTGCCTCAATAACTTCTTTCTTAGAAATCATGTCCAAAGCTTGAGACCATTGGTTACATATCACAAAGATCGGTGGAACTCCAAGGCTATCAGGTGAAGAAGGAGCGACACCATCATGTGTGTTCCTCAGGTTCATAGAGAAGACACTTCATAAGCCATTTATTCATCTCTCTTACATAACAATTTTGCGAGTTAACCCAGCAAGAGAATCCTAATATCCAGTTAAGAAGCTCATGACCAAGCAAACTAGTTGCCTCTAAATGTTCATCTCCTAGTTTCTTGCTAGCTTTTATAGACCCTAACCCTCTAGCTTCCTTTATAACCTGTCACTGACTTTGATGACACTCTAGCATCTCTTTCCACATTCTTGTAAGCCTGAGAAGCAAACCAAATAAACAATCAGCATCTCAAAAGGCAAACATAATCATGTAGAGGCAATGTTATTACCCTTGGATCAATGCAACAAGTTGCGGCCATAGGTCTTCATCTCTGCAAAGAATCTGATCAATGACGCCGCCTCTAGGATTTTACTCCGGTAACAGAACTCTTGCCCTGATAACAATCTCTGTTTTCTCGATCTGTATCCTTCCTTGACTCGTCTTCTGAATTGAAGACTTTGGGGGTTTTTGAGTTCTGTCATCGTCTTTTTGAATCGATAACGTGACTTGTGCTTCTGCTTTCGGGCTGTGTCTCATCTACGGCAACGTCAAGCTCAAGGCTTGTTCGGCTTCGTCGGATTTGGTCACCGTATAACTATTGGTCGTTCATCTAATATGGATCTGGAGAATATGTGGGAGAGAATAGGTTAAGGGTACAATAGTCTTTTTTCTATCAAAAATTTAAGGGTAAAGTTGGTTAAGGTATAAGTAAAATAGTGTAGTTTGAAAGTGGTAGATTAGACAAATTCCCAATATAATATACTCAAGTATAACTAAACCAGTTAGATATTACATATACAAAATCACATGACTAATTAAAAGTATATAATTTTATTAATATAAATTATAAAATTATTTAAATTGAAAAGTAAAACATCAATCAGTTATTATTATATATTTATCTTAAGAATATTTATATCTCGGGAGAATATTTGAACTAGAAATTAATCTAATACACATTAAAAATTAGAAATTGATTGATTAGAAATTAATCTAATACACATTAAGTTGATATAAATAACAATAAAGTGTTAAATCAAGCATGAAACAAATATCGTGCAGATTCTCTCGCTAAAGAACCCAGATGTAATGGTACTCTTTTCTACTATATAGATCTAACTTAGCCAGAAAGAACATCCCTTTGGAACAATTCAAACTCGCGTACCACTTGATCTTATAAGATGAGCGTCGACAAAAAAAATCATTTATAAATAATATGCATCACTTTTTAAAATTAAATAGACTTGTTATTTAAACTAGCAAATTATAAAATATTTTATAAGCAATACGACAGTTAAAGTATTAACTTAAATTTTAATACCTATTTTTGTATTTCATATTAAAATAAATAATACATTTAATATTTGAAATATTTATATATGTTTCAAATATTTTATATTGATTATTAGTTTCAGATCTTTCGAGTTATCTGTTCGAATAACTCTATGGGTTCAGATATATTTTATACCACCTACCAATATCTATTTGGAAACTAGTGGTGGTAACCAAGTAGCGCTTGTGGGAATAAATCTAATAAGGTGAACCCGGGTTCAATCCTCACTAGCCACACGGATATGAGTTATTGCTTTCGACCCATTTGAATGTCCAGGAAATGGTCTATTTTTCGAAACATTTGAATGTCTAGGAGAAAGTGTATTCGTGGGTTGTACCTCCACTCGTGAATTAAATCTGTGTCTTTAATAGAAGTGGGTTTTAGTTTTTTAGTAAAAAAAAAGATCTATTTGGATAATTTTACAAATTTGAAAAACATATCATAGGTGCAAGGCCAGTAGATCACGCCTTAAAGCCTTTTAAGATCCATGTAGTGTGTTCCCCATCATGGAGTTTGTAACGTCGAGCTTACACTTCTACAATCAGCGAATGATATTCCACATTAATGCTTTTATTATTATCCCTTAATTATCATTTCCGAATAATAATTGCATCACAAGCATTGATTTCTCATTATTCTTTTTCGGATTTTATTATTTATCCACGGAGTCAACAAACATTTACCATATATCGCAGCTTCTTCTTTCCCATTCCAAGCGAAAGGAGGAAGAAGATGAAGCTACAATGGGAATCAATCTCCACACTTCACCAAAACGTCTTCCTCTTCAAGGTCCTTGCTGCAATTTTCATAACCGGTCTCGCTTTTCGCTTTTACGCCGTCCGCTTCGGCCAAGTTTCCCCGGTTCAAGTGTCGGTGAACGGAATCTCCGATCCTCAGATCTCTCCGCCGTCGGTTATCATATCGGAGAACGAGGATCTACTCCCCATCGGTAAGATCATCGTTAGCATAAACCACATTACGATCCCTCTGTGAATTAGCTGTCAAATTTTGTTAACCTCGATCTAGGGATTTACAGAGATTCTTTCTAGGTCTGTAACTTTGGAAGACACTTAATATCGATTCACTTCAATAGGAGGTTTAGTGTTTAATCATTTGACTCAAGCTTTCTTCAGTTGTTGTTGATTCGTTTATTCTCAGAATCTGATTTCCTCAGGAGCTATCTTGATAAGAAGTTAGTGTAGTGATGATAAGATTCTATGTTTTGTTTTATTAGATATTGAGGTGGAGAAGTGTGATCTCTTCACTGGTAAATGGATCAGAGACCCTTTGGGACCAATCTACACAAATGGCTCATGTGGTGTCGATGTAGATAGCCACCAGAATTGCATCACCAATGGTCGGCCTGACTCTGGTTTCCTCTACTGGAAGTGGAAGCCTAACGATTGCTCCTTGCCCCGCTTCCACCCTCTTAGGTTTCTGCAGCTTATGAGGAACAAGTCCTGGGCTTTCATTGGTGACTCCATTTCGCGTAACCATGTCGAGTCTCTGCTTTGCATGCTCTCCACTGTAAGGAACTGCAACTTTTAATCCTTTTGTCTTTGTAGACTTTTGAAGCGACAAGTGTTTTTGTTTTCGATGTTTTCAGGTTGAGAAACCGGTTGAAGTGTACCACGACGAGGAATACAGATCAAAGCGTTGGCTTTTCCCTTCTCACAATCTGACAATCTCCAACATTTGGTCACCGTTTCTTGTTCAAGCCGCCATTTTTGAGGACTCAAGGGGTGTCTCGTCAGCTGCAGTCCAGCTTCACCTTGACATACTCGACAAAACATGGACTGATCTGTTTCCGAGTATTGACTATGCCATCATCTCTTCCGGGGAATGGTTCTTGAAAACCGCGATCTACCACGAGAATGCTAATCCTGTTGGCTGCCATGGCTGCCCGCAGAGTTCTAACATGACGGACTTGGGGTTCGACTATGCTTATAACACATCCCTGCGCCATGTGATGGACTTCATCACGAGATCAAACACTAAAGGCATGATCTTTTTCCGGACTTCAATACCTGATCATTTCGAAAACGGTGAATGGCATAACGGAGGGACATGTAAGAAAACAGAACCGGTGGAAGAGGATGAGGTGGAGATGAAAGTTGTGAACAAGATCTTGAGAGATGTAGAGATTAGTCAGTACCAGAGGGTGGTTACGGAGATGGGTCAGGAAGCTGGGAATTTTAAGCTTCTTGATTTTGCAGGAATGTTGCTGACTCGACCGGATGGGCATCCCGGTCCGTATAGAGAGTTCAGGCCGTTTGATAAGGACAAGAACGCAAAGGTACAGAACGATTGTCTGCATTGGTGCTTGCCTGGTCCGATTGATTACTTGAACGATGTTATATTGGAGATCATAGTGAATGGGTGAACCGGTAAATAACCGGTTTGATTGTATTTTAGTCAATGGCTGAATCACAAACACCGGTTTGGTCTGGGTCTTGTAAATTGATAAAGTTTAAGAAGTTGGGCAGAGCTCATTAAAGATTTAAAAATCCGGTAATGGTTAGCGATAGCTATTACTATGGATCGATTTTTGTAAAGTGAGATTGTTAGTTTTGTTATGTGCAAAATTAAACCGATGTTCAAACAAAATCTTGTATGTTTAAAATTTAAATCGATGTTCAAACAAAAAAAATGTAAAAGATGTTCTAAACCGATTTTCAGTAAGTTGGTTTGTTTTCATATAAAGATGTTCTAAACCGGTTCATGAAGCTGGTTTAATGGGAATGTCAAAACGGTCAAAACTCATTAAGGTAAGAAATCACCTCGGACGCGACAAGATTATTAAATCCACAAAAGTATTAGTTCAAATTTCGAAAATTTGACCGTTGTTTTTCCTATTATATAATACCCTTGATAGACTATTCTAACTCACTAACCCTAATCCTCAAAACCTACATTTATCTCTTAAACTTTAGCTACAGTCTTATACAGTCTCTTCTTTTTCAATGGCAACAACGCACAAATCCTGCTTCTGCTAAGAAATCGAGAAACAACAGAAAAACCTTGAAGCAGAAGAATAAGATCGTAGAGTTACCATTGTTATCGCCAGCCAAGGGGAAAGAAACAAAGTCATACGAGAAAGATCTGATGGAGATGCAGATGATGTTGGTGAAGATGAAGATCGAGAAGGAGAAAACAGAGGATCTGCTAAAGGAGAAGCACGAGCTTCTGAAGAAAAAGGAAGAGGAACTCGAAACAAGAGACGTGGAACAAGAGAAGCTTAAGGTGGAGCTGAAGAAACTTCAACAGATGAAGGAGTTCAAGCCTAACATGGTAACCATTATCTCTGGTTCTCTACTGATTCAACAGTTTTAGATTCATACATATTAGGTTAATTATGCATAACATGTTTGAGTCTGCCTATTTATGTTAAATGACTTTTCTATTGTCTTTGTCTGTTTCCGACATTGCTTCAGTTTTTCTCTATTTTTTTTTTTTGTTACTTTCCTTTGCTTATGGTGATTGATTTTGGATTTTTGGTATCCTCAGCATTTCGCTTTCTATCAATGTTCGACAAACAGAAGAAGAGAAGAAGGGGAAGAAGAAGGATTGGCCTGAGATGAAGAGACCATCAACGCCATACATCTTGTGGTGCAAGGATAACTGGAACGAAATCAAGAAGGAGAACCCAGATTCAGACTTTAAAGAGAGTTCCAACATTCTTGGTTGTAAATGGAAGACTCTTAGTGCAGAAGAGAAGCAGACTTACGAGGACAAGTACAAGGCTCACAAAGAAGCTTATCTCCGGGTTATTACAAAGGAGAAGCGCGAGAGAGAAGCCATGCAGCTACTTGAAGATGAGCAAAAGCAGAAGACTGCAATGGAACTGCCTGATCAGTATCACCACTTTGTTCAAGAAGCTGAACATGACAATAAGAAAAATACAAAGTAAAAACTTGAACTGTTTTACTCAGAGAAATAATTTGATGGTAAAGAACCCTGACTTTGTTTTTTTCTCGGTTTGTAGGAAGGTGAAGCTTCCCCTGAAGCCTAAACACCCCATCTCTACTTACCTGATCTATGCAAATGAGAGGAGGACTGCTTTACGAGAAGATAACAAGAGTGTTATAGAGGTAAGTAAATAATTCACAATCTTCTTTGCTTAATTGTCATTTGAAACTGTTGAAGCTAAGTTGTGTGGATGGATTGGTGAGTATAGGTTGCCAAGTTAATGGGAGAGGAGTGGAAGAACTTGTCTGAGGAACAAAATATTGGTATAGATAAGGATTATCTATTAAGTTGTACTTATCTAGGATAATGATTAGTTAGAGTTATGCTTATCTAGCAGAGATCTCGTCTATTCTCTTGTATAAATATATATCATGTTGTTAATGAAATATACAAGTTTTACATATTTCGATATGGTATCAGAGCATCTTCTGATCCAAACCTAATTTTTTTTTTCTCTTCTTCTCTAAACCAAAATTTCTTTCTAAACTTAATCTTCTTCTCAAAATTTATTTCCCCTCAACGATGTCTACAGAGACTTCTACTACGGCAGAGTCAGCCTCTGTTTTCAACTTGGCCAAAAGTACTCTCATCTCTCTCAACATGTCCAACATCACCAAACTTACTGCAACAAATTTTATCACATGGCGCTAGCAAGTTAGTGCTCTCTTAGAAGCACACAATTACATTGTTTCATCAATGAAACTGATCAAACTCGTCCTTGAACAGTTACAACAGATGCTGGAACAACAGAACCAAATCATGAGTTTGCTGCCTGGAATAGACAAGACAAGATGCTTTACAGTGCAATGCTTGGCTCATTATCTCTTGTCGTTCAACCCATTGTTGCAAGAGCTATCAACACTCGTGAGGTATGGCAGATTCTCTATCGAACTTATGGTAAACCTATGAGAGGACACATTAAACAACTGAAACAGCAAATCAAAATCACCAAAAGGAGCAAATTGATCAATGATTACATGCATATTATTATTGATAAAGCTGACAAGTTAGCTCTTCTCGGATCTGCCTATGATCATGAAGATCTACTGAATATCATCACTGATGGTCTAGGAGATGATTAACATGCAGTTGTGGACATGGTTAATGGACGTGATACGCCAATAACCATTATTGATGAGTTGCACGAGAAACTTATTTTTTGGGAACACACACTGAATATCACAAATTCCAACAATCTTCCATCTCCAGTTACAGCTAATGCAGCACAAGTTCGTCCTCAGCAAAATCAAAGTTACTCTGCTCCTCATGGTGGTTATCAAGGTTCTTCTTGTGGTGGCTACAGACAACAACATCCGTGCCTAGGAAAGTGTCAAATTTGTGGAGTACAAGGACATGGTGCACGTAGGTGTCCTCAATATCAACCACAACAAACATATCGACCAATGACTCATCCCGGATCCTATCAGTCAGCATACAGAGGATCTCCACAATGGTCAGCTCAACCTCCACAATGGTCAGCTCCACATCTTCCTCTTCTAACACCTCAGTGGCCGCAACAAGTTCATCATGTCACAACAAGTACTCCAGATATGTCTCAGTGGCTGCTGGATAGTGGAGCCTCTCATCATATTGCTAGTGATCTAAGCAATCTTTCTCTTCACTTACCATATACTGGAGGTGAAAACGTAATGGTTGGCAATGGGGCTAATCTTCCAATCACACACACTGGTTCGACCTTTCTTCCTTCTAATTATCGAAATTTGAAGCGCACCAATGTTTTTTGCGTACCCTCTATGCACAAGAACCTTATCTCTGTCAACAAGCTTTGCAAAGCTAATAATGTTTCTGTTCAACTTTGTTCTCATGATTTTCAGGTGAAAGATCTACAAACGGGAACAACGCTAGTAACCGGCAAGGCTAACAGCGGTGTGTATGAATGGCCGATGCTTCCTTCCTCATCTTCAAATTCTCCAATTGCTTTTTCAAGTTCTAGGTCTTCTTGTTTGGATTGGCACGCACGTTTGGGCCATCCTAATCTTCAAACACTTCGTCACATGATTTCTCAGTTGTATTTACCTTTATCTTCTTCCTTGTTGTCTCATTTAAATTGCACCTCGTGTTTCATCAATAAAAGTCATAAGCTTCCATTTTCAAACTCCACTCTTACATCAAAATCTCCTCTTGAGATTATTTTCTCTGATGTTTGGACCTCCCCAACAATTTCGATGGATGGTTTCAAGTATTTTTTCATTTTTGTTGATCATTTTACAAGATACATCTTGTTTTATCCTCTCAAAACAAAGTCACAAGTGGCTGGTATTTTTCCTATTTTCAAAACACTTGTTCAAAATCGTTTTAAATCCAAGATTGTTACATTCTTTTCTGACAATGGAGGAGAGTTTCTAGCTCTCAAAAGCTTTCTTTCCTCTAATGGTCTATCTCATATGACCACTCCTCCACATACTCCTGAACATAATGGTATCGCTGAGAGACGCAACAAATATATTGTGGAAACAGGCTTGGCACTTCTCTCACATGCAAACATTCCACAGACATATTGGACTTGTGCCTTTGCAGCTGGAGTATATCTTATCAACCGTCTCACAATATCAATCTTGGAGAATACATCACCTTATAAAAAGCTCTTCAACGAGGAGCCTAACTACATGAAGTTAAGGACCTTTAGATGCCTTTGCTACCCATGGATCAAACCGTTTGGAGACAACAAACTCAGCCCAAGATCTACACTGTGTGTCTTTGTAGGGTACTCTCTCACTCAGAGTGCTTTCTTATGCTTGGATGTTATCAACTCAAGAGTCTATGTGTCTCGTCATGTGGAGTTTAAAGAGTCGGTCTTTCCTTTCCAATCTCTTAATGTTAAATCTTCTAGTGTCTCCTTCTCTCTTTTTCTTCCTTCTGATTCCTGCTCAGCCTCCTTTATTCATGTTTTTCATCGGTCTACAGTCACAACTCAGTCCCTGTGCGTACCTTCTTCACCAGTAGCAGTCATTCAACCGGCACCGGCTCCAATACAATCTTCTTAAGGACATGAACATGCCACATAAACAGATTCCGGTGACACTATCACTCCGTCATTACCACCACCAAGTACTCATGCGATGGAAACTCGCAGCAAGAGCAACATTCATAAGCCAAATCCAAAATATGGCTTCACTGCAATTCTTAAAGACGTCGAGCCTGCTTCTCATTTTGAGGCGCTTAAAGATGAGAAGAGGAGAGGTTCTATGAGTACTGAATTTGATGCGTTTAATTGTAATAATACGTTTGAATTGGTTGACAGGTCTAAAGCACACAATATTGTTGGATCACATTGGGTTTATAGAATCAAGCGTCTGCCAAATGGAGAAGTAGATAAGCTCAAGTCAAGGCTAGTTTCTAAAGGGTATCATCAGAGGCCTGGCATTGACTACTATAAAACATTCAGTCCGGTGATAAAACATGCTACAATTCGACTGGTCCTTGGTACTGCAGTCTCTAGAAACTGGCCACTAATGCAATTTGACGTAAATAATGCATTTTTTCAGGGTCCTCTAACTGAAGAAATCTATATGCTACAGCCTTCTGGCTTCATTGATAAGGATAAACCGAATCATGTTTTTCGCTTAAAGAAGGCTATTTATGGAATTTAAATAGGAACCAAGGGCTTGGTACAATGCTCTTAAAGATTTTCTCATTGGTATTGGATTCAAGAACTCTTTGGCAGATGCTTCTCTGTTTATATTACGTTGTGGCAGTCATTTCATCTACATCCTGGTGTATGTCGATGATATAATAGTTACTGGTTCTTCTACAGTTGAGATTACTCGAGTTACAAACCTTCTTGCTTCACGGTTTTCACTCAAATAACTTGGTCAGTTCTCTTACTTTTTGGGCATGGAAGCAACTCGAACCTCGTCTGGTCTTCATCTTACTCAGAAAAAATATACAGTGGATCTTCTTCGTCGAGCTAAAATGGAGAATGCAAAGCCAGTAGCCACGCATATGTCTTCCTCTGAATCACTTACCTTACTCAGTGGTGATAAGCTTGACAATCCATCGGAGTTCAGAACCATCGTTGGTGCACTACAATACTTGGGACTTACGCGACCAGACATTGCTTTTGCTGTAAATCGGTTGTCTCAATATATGCACCAACCTACAACTACTCATTGGGAAGCTGTGAAAAGAGTTCTTCGTTACTTAGTGGGTTCAATTGACAAAGGAATCTTCTTCTCATCATCTTCACCAACACCAACACTCCATTCATATTCAAATGCCGATTGGGCAGGTGACAAGGATGATTACATTTCAACAGGTGCTTACATTGTTTATCTTGGCCGACAACTTATTTCTTGGTCTGCAAGGAAGCAAGGGAGTGTGGCCAGATCTTCCACGGAAGCTGAGTATTGTGCGGTTTCTGATGCAGCTTCTGAAGTCAAGTGGGTGGTGTCTCTCATGGATGACCTCGGCTTATCCTCTGCTACCACTCATAATATTGGTGCAACATATCTCTATGCAAATCCAGTCTTTCATTCACGTATGAAGCATATGGCACTAGCATATCATTTTTTTCGAAAGCAGGTTCAAGCCAAGATGCTTCGAGTTTCGCACATCAATACACATGATTAGTTGGCAGATGCTTTAACCAAACCTCTTCCTCGTGCTCGGTTTCACAATTTGATTTCAAAGATTGGACTCTGTAGCCGACGTCCAACTTGAGGGGGCATATTGTTATAGATAAGGATTATCTCTTAAGTTGTACTTATATAGGATAATGATTAGTTAGAGTTATGCTTATCTAGCAGAGATCTCTTCTATTCTCTTTTATAAATATACATCACGTTGTTAATGAAATATAAAGTTTTACATATTTCTATACAAAAGGCTCCCTACAATAAGGTCTGGATCCACATCAATAGCCATTGTTGTGTCTAGAAGTAAAGATTCTAACGGATTCTATAACTTTTGTAACAGATGGCATAGAAGAACAAAGAGATATATCTGGAAGAGATGAAAGGATATAAGTGGACAAAGGAAGAAGAAGCTATGAGCCAGAAGAAAGAAGAAAGAAGAAAGAAGAAAGAAGAAGAGGAACTCATGAAACTCCACAAACAAGAAGTTCTCCAACTTTTCAAGAAGAAGGAGAAAACTGACAACATCATAAAGGTTACTAACTTTACCTCACATGACCTGTAGCTTACTAACAAGGAAAAAGTCAGTCACTAACAAAACACCATGTTGATTGCAGAAAAAGAAAGAAACGACAAATAATAAGAAGAAGGACGAGAATGTGGATCCTAACAAACCAAAGAAGCCCGCTTCTTCCTTCTTTCTTTTCTGGTACTAAAACCATATAACACACAAATCAGATCCCAAAATGTTTTGTTTTTAACTGCTTGATGCTTTACAGCAAAAATGCAAGGAAGAGTTTGGCAGAAAAGCATCTTGGGATTAACAATTCAACTCTTAGAGCATCACCATTAGCAAACCTGGGGTGGGATTCGTCACGTGGCTTTTTCAGTTTTTCTTTATTTTTAAAGAAAATTAATAATTGGACCAATGGCGGGCCGCCACGTGTCATAGGACCCATACTACAGTGATGAATCAGATTCACTCCGGGAAACTTGTAAGGGACATGTTCAATACTATTTATTATTTTAGTTTTTTTTTTTTGAAAATGTGTGAATCTCCATCTGAATCTTTGATGGGGGTGTTCTCACTGCCCACATTTCATTGAAATGGAAGGTATAGTAATATAATTTAAAGAGAGATTTAGGGAAATACCCATATTTGGACCTTATATTAGTGATTTATACATGAGTTGACATAATTGTAAAGTTTTATACAATTTCACCTTGGTTGGACACTGCTAACCTTATGACAATGTCTCTTTCTTTTGAAGCAACATTCTCTCTCTTTCAATTTCTCTCTTTATCTTTTATTATAATTTCTTTACTTTCACATTTTTTCTTCTAGATATTTTTTTCTTACGTTAAAAATCAATTGACATACTAAACAAAGCACCCCATAATAAATTTTTTTCTTTAAAATCGCCGGAAATAATCACTATTATCGATAGTTAACATCTATAATATTTGTTAACAGAAGTGTTAGATGTTAACGAATATATGTACCCGAATTATTAGCTGTTAATAAATATTGTAGATGTTAACAAAGATATTAGATGTTAACAAATAGATGTACCAAAGATGGTAACGTAGATGTTAGCTGTTAATAAATNAGAAAAGAAAGAAAAAGAGAAGAGAAGAGAACAAATATAATTGAAGAAAGAATGAGAGAAAGAGAGAGAGTGTTTCTAACGAAAAGGAAAAAAAAATCTGACAAACCCACATGCATGAAAGAGAGAGAAAGGGCAATTTGGTCATAAAAAAGAGATCAGTCCCATCAAGGGCATTTCTCTAATATCGACCCCAAAAAGGCTGTGAGAGCAAATAATTTCTAATTTAAAACCTGATGAGTCTAAAGTAATTTTATAATAATAAAATGGTAATCGTGTGATTCACTTGTTGTAGGAACTCGGTAAAGAAGAAAGGCAAATGTATAATGGAAAAGCTGCAGAGTTAATGGAAGTGTACAAGAAAGAAGTGGAAGAATATAACAAGACCAAAGCTTCTGCGTAGTAGAGGAATATTACTAACTCAGTAGGGAAATGAGAAATGTTCAAGTTCACTCATATTGAACATCTCTTATGCAAAATGATTAGCTGCTTTTAAGAGATATGCTTGTTAATTTGTTTCATCTCATAATTTAAAATTTGTCACTTTTTTAATTGTGTTGAATTAACCTTAAACCAGAAAATTGGATATTGGTAACCGAATCTATACTATTATTTGCGAAGTGATTTTTCGCAACGGAGCTCCCACGTTAAAAGTTAGAGTGGTTAATATCGTTTATACCCTTGATAAATAAATATATAAATCAGATAATAATAAAAACGAAATTAATTGATATTTATTTGATTAGATAAAGGATTTGAATTAATAATAATGATAATGATTATCCATAATCTAAATATATATTTAAAAATAAAAAATATAATTCCTATATATAGTGTGTTATTATCCAGAAAATATATTTTATAAAATAATTCAAAAACAGAAAAAAACATAAATAAATATTCATAAAGTAAAATTTTTAATTGTATATAATTGAAAATATAAAATTGTAAAATATTATAATACGTAATTATTTTCACACTAAAAGAATATAATAATATACTAATGATATATATTTGTGAAGTTATTTTTCACCTCTGAACTCACACGTTAAATTAAATTTATTTTTAGATTTTCTATAATTAAACTTTAAACATGTATTAATCATAACAAAATAAAATATCATTCAAAAAGAAAGAAAATACGTATTTGACAAAAATAAATTTTAAATATATTGTATTATTATCCAAACTAATATTATTCTTTTTGTGAGATCAATTTTGAATTTACATTTATCGATTCAATTTTTTAAACTGAAAGTTAGATTTTTATATTTTTATCAATTAAGAAGAAAGGAAATGGACTTTAGATTTTTTTAAAAAAATTTGTGAATAACGTTATCATGTTAAAAGGTTTAGTTTTTAGGTTAAATTTTTTGGATGCAAATAATAATTTATTTTGATGATTTTTTAAATTAATTTAAAGATAATTAAGCCCGCATGTGCGGGCAAAACATTACTCGATATGTTTAAAAAACCAATGTTGGATTCAAAAATTGGACATCGGTTACCATCGGACCCAATTACTTACGTGGCAAAACGTTCAATATCAAGGGTGTTTTTGTAACATCAAATAAAATTACAACCTAAGGTTTTCGTCGTCGTCCACCTCCGAAATGTTACCAGTTTTTGTTTCATCCAAGCCCTAAAAAAAAAAAAAAGACTCGGTGAGGGTTTAAAGGAAGATAGCTTATTCCGTTCGTTGGATTCTAAATTTACTTGCGATTATTAACTAGTCTTTATCAGCGCAATTCTTTCCTCAGAAAATGAACTCAGTCGCTATCCGAGTCTCCAAGCTTCTCAGATCCTCCGCCTCTCCCATCTCTCCTCTCGGTAATCCATCCATTTCACCTAACTTATCTGCTTAGGTCTTCTTCTTCCATTAATCTTTGTGTGTTGTGTGGGGAGTGTAGCAGTAAGTGCTGGGAAAGGCTCGAGGTCTTGGTTCTCAACTGGTCCCATCGATGAAGAAGGGTTGGAAGAAGATTTTGAAGAAACCATCTCAGAAAGACCCGAGCTTCAGCCTCACGGTGTCGATCCCCGTAAAGGTTGGGGCTTTCGCGGCGTCCATAGGGTAAAAAACCAAACTCATATTTGTCTTCAGCTAAGAATCAAAACTTTGGCTCACCTAAGTGTTCAATTGGTTGTTTCTGCGATTACCCTGTTCAAAAGAAAAATAGTCTTTTTCAGTCCCAAATCCTGCCTCTGGACTAGTACAAGTTGATGATCAAAAATCTTCATTCATGACCTGAGTTGTTGATGTTATATGGTTTGCTCGCACAGGCCATCATTTGTGGGAAGGTAGGTCAAGCTCCGTTACAGAAGATCTTAAGGAACGGTCGAACTGTAACCATCTTCACAGTTGGAACGGGTGGCATGTTTGATCAGAGGCTTATGGGAGCAACTAACCAGCCTAAACCTGCTCAGTGGCATAGAATCGCTGTGCACAACGAAGTTCTTGGCTCTTACGCTGTCCAAAAGCTCGCCAAAAAGTAAGCTTGCTTTACTACATGTTCAAACTATTACTTGGATTAACAACCACAGTTATTAACTGCATCTAAGATTGTTTGTACCACATCACAATGTTTTCCACATTCACAATCTCTTTCCCTGTCTTTGATCTCTCTGTGTCTTCTCTATTTTCTCAATTTATATTGGTATCAGTTAATGAACTGGAGGTGAAGATTGTTGGTTGGTTTTTATCCAAACTTTTGGTTTTTGTTGGTTGGTTTTTATCCAAACTTTTGGTTTTGATGGTGTGCTTTTGTTACAGCTCATCGGTTTATGTGGAAGGTGATATTGAGACTAGAGTCTATAATGATAGCATCAGTAGTGAAGTCAAGAGTATCCCTGAGATCTGCATTCGTCGTGATGGTATATGTTTTTGTTCATCCTGTTCATCATCGTTTTATTTATCACTTTCTTGCTGACTTATGAATCTTATATGTGTTTTGTAGGGAAGATTAGGCTGATCAAATACGGGGAAAGCATTAGCAAGATCTCTTTCGATGAGCTAAGTAAGTTATCATGTTTTTATTCAGCTGAATATCCCTTTTGAAAAAGAGAGAGATTTGTTTTTGTTGTTTAATCTTTGTACGCCTTTTAACAGAAGAAGGATTGATTTAGTCGGAGCAAGAATATAACGGTGGCGGGAAGACACTGAATCAACGGTCTCCTGAGTAAAATCGACAAACCCGTTCTTTTTTTTGTTTTCCTGTCCTTTGTGAGAGAACTGAGTTCATTTACATGGATATTAGGGACATTTATGTAATTGTCGATCAAAACTAATCAGTTCTGCCTCGGTTTCTTAGTACATGTTGCTCGACAACAAACACATTTGGCTAGATGCTTTACCATTGCTGTAAGACTGTCTATCAGTAATTCGAAGCATTGCCTAAGCTTCAACTTCTGTTGCAGTGGATGGTTGGTTCTAAAGATGTTAAGATAGTATAACCCACCCCATTTAAGATCCACTCCATTTGAACAAATATACGTTTAGACTCATTTTAAAATAGGTCTTTTAGGACTATCCATTTAGTATTCGCGAGATTTACATGTACTCATTTAAATTCATTTAGATCCATTTAGATCAGATTTTTTTTTTACTTGTTTTAATTATGTTTGTAAAACAATTTTTATTTTTTATTTGTTTTAAATAAATCTTGGATGTTTTTTTTATTTGTACATATTGAGGAGCTTAAACAAACAATAAGAATCTCAAAAGCATATAAATATTTGTAAAAATATCTCAAAAACATAAGAATCTAAAAAACAATATTTGTAAAGAATCTCAAAAACAAGAGGAGACATTAGTTAATAGAGGAGAAAATAATTACAGAAAATAATCTCAAGACATTATTTTATAGTGTTTTCATGACGACTCTCAAGACACCATAGCAAGACCTAGGGATGTTAAGATGAGTTTCATTCTGTGAGGTTTTAATGGGTTCCAAAAAAAAAAAATGCTCATTTAGACTCATTTAGTTACTTGGGTGTTTAATGGGTAACCCTCTTCAGATCCATTTATTAAACGGGCTTTGGCTAAAATAAATGATAGCCCGTTTAACCTTTTTATGTCATTAAAATAAATATGTTATCGTTTTGCCTTAAGGGTTTTTCACAAACATAAAGCGTAATCTCCATTCTCCACCGCCTCAAGTCCTTAAACCATCGTCTCCGACTCCGCAAAGGAAATCCTCAACCCAGCATAATCTTCTTTCTCTGATCATGCTTGATGTCATCGATCCCTCCATCTGTGTAGGAGTTACAATTCTTTCACTGGTCATAGTTTCATCTTCTCCTTCACTGGGTTTTTTTTTTTTGTGAAGATTTGTTGTCCTTAAAGTTTATGATTCGTAGTCCTTTGGATGTATTGAGATGATATGTTTAGTGGGTTATTCTTTTTTTTATTCGATTATAATTGAAGATTGTTATTAGGGTTATGCACACTAAGTGCTTGATGAAATGTCCAAGTCACACTTAGCGACCTTTTTGATGATGTTCTTTGTTTGTCATTAGTACCATTGATTTCTTTTTCAAACTTCTTTTGTTGTTTGTATAGATAGAGATAATGAGAAAAACTATTGTCAGTGCATATAAATGTATATATTAATGTTTACATGGAAGAGCACCAAATGGAAGCATATAAATGTAAATATTAAGAATTGTAGATAACCATCTGTTATATTTAAAATTGATAATTAGCTATTGTTGACCGGTTGTTTATAACTTCACTTTCTTGTTTACCGTGTCAGTGCAGTTTGATCTTTCATGACCTTGGCTTTTCTTAAGCTTATATATTACCATTGGTTCAAAAAAAGAAAACTTATTTATTGTGACGTTTGATGGATTAAGTATGAACTCGTAATTTTTGTACAAATATAATCAGATCATATTTCGTCATATTAATGTATTAGTTCCCACTAAGGCTAATACGAGGTAGACAAGCAACTTAATATCTATGTATGATGATGACACATTTATATTATTATGTGAAGTGCATTTTGTTTGTTTAATTTCATTGATAATATCTTGTTTATGCTCTGTTCAAAAGATCATTTACTCTCAACTCTCGCATCATTGAAGCATAAGAGTTTGTCAGTTTTGAACGAGATTTGAGTTTGTCAATTTTGTCAATAGATGCTTTATCTTATTATTGAATCGGGACTAATTTATTTTTTATTTTTTTAATTACAGCATGGATGATTTTATAGATATGAATGAAGAAGATGCTCTAGCTGAGATAAATTTGGAAGCTACACAACTAGAGAACAGAAAAGTGAAACTCATTCTGGGGAATCAGCTCAAGCTTCACGCAAGAGACGTAAAACATCACAAGTTTGGGAAGATTTTGTATCAGTGGGGATAGAAATTGATGACAAAGAAAGGGCCAGATGTTTGCATTGTCATATGAAGTTGGTGACGCGTAACGAAAAGAATGTGAGCTGTGGAACTCATCATCTACAATCACTTGAATACTTGTCCAAAGAAGCCTCCAAAGGAAGATAAGGCTGCATATGATCAGAAGATATATCGTGAGAAGGTTAGTGAGGTAATCATTTATCATGTTCTTCCATTCAGATACATAGAATACGAGAAGGTTAGAGCACGAGACAAGTATCTGAATTCAGACTTCCAGCCCATTTGTAGACAGACAGCTGCAACAAATGTTTATAAGAGGTATGAAGTAGAAAAAGAAGATCTGAAGAAAGTGTTTGCTAGACATACTGGTCGGATTTGCTTTACTTCTGATCTTTGGATATCTCGTCCTAATAGCATGGGATACATATGTTTTACTGCCCACTTCATAGATGATGGCTGGAACTTGCAAAGTAAGCTTCTTGCTTTCTGAGATTTGATGCCTCCACACACAAGAGACGCGATTGCTAACAAGATTTTGGAGTGTATGATGGAATGAGGTTTAGAGAAGAAGGTATTCTCTCTTACCTTAGACAATGCTAATAACAACATTGTATGTAGAGGATCCTCAAGGGACAGCTTCAGCTGATGAGTGGTTATGGCTTATTGTGTGATGTAAAGTACTTACATGTCAGGTGTTGCGCCAATATCTTGAATTTGATAGTGAAAGAAGGTTAGAGTTAGCGAATGAAAGACCTTTTGCCTAACATCAGAGAAAGTGTGAGGTATATGAAAGCATCTCAAACAAGAATTTAAGCCTTTGTAGAGCGAGTGGGGATTCTTGGTAGCTCTGGTTTATCACTTGATGTCGCGACTAAATGGAATTCTACCTATGGAATGCTTGTTAGAGCGTTGAAGTTTAGGGAAGCATTTAAAAGCTTCGCGACTTTTGACAGGTACTACAGATGGCTACCTTCTAAAAGAGAGTGGGATCATGGGCAAAAAATAAGTGAGTTGCTGAAACCTTTCAGTCAAATTATTACTCTCTTTTCAGGATCAAAGTACCCAACATCTAGTGTATACTTCATGAAAGTTTGGAGGATTGAGCTATTGCTGAGACATTTTGCGAGCTGTAATGATTTTGATTTGAAGAAGATGGCTAAGGAAATACAAGTTAAATTTGCTAAGTATTTGGAGGATTACATCATTAGTTTTGACTATGGCAGCAGTTTTTGATCCAAGGCTAGTTGGATGTTCTTGAGAAATCTTATGAGAGAGTGGATCCTTCTACTTCTACTTTAAAAACTGAGGAGCTTAAGACTAATTTGACTAAACTTTATAAAAAGTATTAAGCTGGGACTTGGGGCAGTTCTTCTGGTTCTTCATCTATACCAACTCCACATGATGTGGTTACTGAATCTCCTTTGGAGGATGATTTTGACAATGTAAGTTTCAAGCATCTTTAGTATATTACATGATGTTGCGAGTAATGTAGGATCTTTAGTGTATTACATGATGCTATGAACTCAAATAGTATAACTAACACTATAGTATATTACAGCATCTCTTTGAATTGGAAAGAAGCCTTGAGAGTAATGTAGGAAACACAAGAACGCATTTATATGTGTATCTGGATGAGAATAGGCTAGACAGAAAGTATTTTTTCGTTGGAGGGAAAACCAAGCTCGATTTGGTGATATAGCGATTATTGCATCTTAATCAGTTACAATATTGGAGCTCGCGTGTTAATTCCATACCGAAGTCGCTTGCTTCCCAATAATGTCCACGCTTTACTATGTACTCGTAACTGGTCGAGAGGTTTTGCAGAATATGAAGGTAAGTGGCTTTTCTCTTTACATACCATATAACCAAATTTTCTCAGTTTCAAAGTAAAGTTCTAGTTGCAAAACTATTGATGATATTGTAGGTAAAATAGAAGATGTTGATGATATGTGCAACGAAGATGCTAGAAAGACTACAAGTACTTCTGGAGGCGAGGGTTCAAGACCAGAAGATTCAATTGTGCATTTATCAATTTAGATAATATCATTCAGTTCTTATCTTTGGCTTGTCTTTTGTTGGTTACCAACAGAGGTCTCTGTGCCATTTCTCAGGCTGAGGCTCTCCGTTACAAGCTCCTCTGTGTGTTGCTATTTGTTTGATATGGTAGGTGCATTGAAGTAATGAGTTTGTTTGCTTGGTACACCATATAATGAGTCACATTACCTAACTTATAGATGAACGTTATAAATTTAGAAATTAATAATCGTAGGTTGACAAATGTTTGTATATGTGCATCTTTCTTTGACACTTTACATAAGTTACACTCTTTAATTGTGATAGAATTAGTGTATTTTTTCAAGCTAGGTTTTGGCTGGTTACTTAATTTATATCGCATATTGTTATTTTGTAGTCTTTGATGCTCTCATTTCTTAACGAAAGCAGGATGTTGATATTGCAATTTGATCTTGTCTTATATAGGTCTTGTTAGGGATGTTAAGATGGTGTAACCCACACTATTTAAACCTATCCCATGTAAGACCCACTCCATTTAGAACTCATATCCATTTAGAACCATTCAAAAATAGGCTTATTAGGGCTAATCCATTTATTACCCGTGAAATTTACATAACCTATTTAAACCCATTTAGATCAGATTCTTTTTATTTTACTTGTTTTAATTATGTTTGTAAAACAATTTTAATTTTTTTATTTGTTTTAAATAAATCTTGGATGTTTTGTTTTTATTTGTACATATTGAAGAGCTTAAACAAACAATAAGAATCTCAAAAGCATATAAATATTTGTAAAAAAATCTCAAAAACATAAGAATCTAAAAAACAATATTTGTAAAGAATCTCAAAAACAAGAGACATTATTTTATAGAAGAAAAAAAAATTACAGAAAATAATCTCAAAACATTATTTATAGCGTCTCCATGACAAATCTCAAGACACCATAGCAAGACCTATACAAGACAAGATCAAATTGCAATATCAACATCCTGCTTTTGTTAAGAAATGAGAGCATCAAAGACTACAAAATAACAATGTGCAATATAAATTAAGTTACCAGCCAAAACCTAGCTTGAAAAAATACACTAATTCTACCAAAATTAAAGAGTGTAACTTATGTAGAGTGTCAAAGAAAGATGCGCATATACAAACATTTGTCAACCTACGATTATTAATTCCTAAAGGTATAATGTTCATCTATAAGTTAGGTAATGTGACTCATTATATGGTGTACCAAGCTAACAAACTCATTACTTCAATGCACCTACCATATCAAACAAATAACAACACACAGAGGAGCTTGTAACGGAGAGACTCAGCCTGAGAAATAGCACAGAGACCTCTGTTGGTAACCAACAAAAGACAAGCCAAAGATAAGAACCGAATGATATTACCTCAATTGTTCAACGCACATTTGAATCTTCTGATCTTGAACCCTCGACTCCAGAAGTACTTGTAGTCTTCTTAGCATCTTCGTTGCACATATCATCAACATCTTCTATTGTACTTACAATATCATCAATAGTTTTGCAACCAGAATTTTACTTTGAAACTGAGAAAAGTTGGTTATATGGTCTGTAAAGAGAAAAGTCATTAACCTTCATATTCTGCAAAACCTCTCAACCAGTTACGAGTACATAGTATAGCCTGGACATTCTTGGGAAGACAACGACTTCAGTATGGAGTTAACACGCGAGCTCCAATACTGAAAATTGATTCAGATGCAGCTGTTGTGATGGGGATACTACGAATATCCCACGCCATCCTTGCTAGATCACCAAATCGAGCTTGGTTTTTCCTCCAATAGCTTAATACATCCAATTTATGAAAAGACTTTCTGTCTAGTCTCTTTTCATCCAGATACACATCTAAATGTGTTCTTGTGTTTCCTACATTACTCTCAAGGCTTCTTTCCAATTCAAAGAGATCCTGAAATATTCTATAATGTTAGTTATACTATTTGAGTTCATGGCATCATGTAATATACTAAAGATCCTACATTATTCGCAACATCATGTAATATACTAAAGATGCTTGAAACTTACATTGTCAAAATCATCCCCCAGAGGAGATTCAGTAACCAGATCATGTGGAGTTGGTGTAGATGAAGAACCATAAGAACTGCCCCAAGTCCCAGCTTGATACTCTTTATAAAGTTTAGTCAAATTAGTCTTAAAATCCTCAGTTTTTAAAGTAGAAGTAGAAGGATCCACTCTCTCATAAGCTTTCTCAAGAACATCCAACTTCAGCCTTGGATCAAAAGCTGCTGCCATAGCCAAAATAATGCTGTAATCCTCGCAATACATAGCAAATTTAACTTGCATTTCCTTAGACATCTGCTTCAAATCAAAATCATCATAGCTCGCAAAATGCCTCAGCAATAGCTCAATCCTCCAAAATTTCATGAAATACACTATAGATGTTTGGTACTTTGATCCTGAAAAGAGAGTAGTAATTTGACTGAAAGGTTTCAGCAACTCACTTATTTTTTGCCCACGATCCCACTCTCTTTCATAAGGTAGCCATATGTAGTGCCTGTCAAAATTCGCCAAATGCTTCCCTAAACTTCAACGCTCTAACAAGCATTTCATAGGTAGAATTCCATCTAGTCGCGACATCAAGTGATAAACCAGAGCTACCTAGAATCCCCACTCGCTTTACACATGCTGCAAAGGCTTGAATTCTTGTTTGAGATTCTTTCACATACCTCATACTTTATCTGATGTTAAGCAAAAGGTCTTTCGCTAACTCCAAGCCTTCTTTCACTATCAAATTCAAGATATGGGCGCAACATCTGACATGTAAGTACTTTTCATCACACAATAAGCGATAACCACTCATTATCTGAAGCTGTCCCTTGAGGATCCTCTGCATATAATCGTTGTTATTAGCATTGTCTAAGGTAAGAGAGAATACCTTCTTCTCTAAACCCCATTCCATCATACACTCCAAAATCTTGTTAGCAATCGCTTCTCCTGTGTGTGGAGGCATCAAATCACAGAAATTAAGAAGCTTACTCTGCAAGTTCCAGCCATCATCTATGAAGTGGGCAGTAAGACATATGTATCCCATGCTATTAGGACGAGATGTCCAAAGATCAGAAGTAAATAAAATACGACCAGTATGTCTAGAAAACACTTTCTTCAGCTCTTCCTTTTCTACTTCATACCTCTTATAAACATCTGCTGCAGCCGTCTGTCTACAAATGGGCTGGCAGTCTGGATTCAGATACTTTTCTCGTGCTCTAACCTTCTCGTATTCTTCGTATCTGAATGGAAGATCATGATAAATGATTACCTCACTAACCTTCTCACGGTCTATCTTCTGATCATATGCAGCCTTATCTTCCTTTGGAGGCTTCTTTGGACAAGTATCCAAGTGGCGTTGTAGATGATGAGTTTCACAGCTCACATTCTTTTTGTTACGCGTCACCAACTTCATACGACAATGCAAACATCTGGCCCTTTCTTTTCCATCAATTTCTATCCCCACTGGTACAAAATCTTCCCAAACCCGTGATGTTTTACGTCTCCTGCGTGGAGCTTGAGCTGATTCCCCAAAATGAGTTTCACTTTTCTGTTCATCTAGTTGTGTAGCTTCCAAATTTATCTCAGCTAGAGCATCTTCTTCATTCATATCTATAAAATCATCCATGCTGTAATTGAAAAAAAAAATAAGAGAAAAATAGATTAGTCCCGATTCAATAATAAGATAAAGCATCTATGACAAAACTGACAAACTCAAATCTCGTTCAAAACTGACAAACTCTTATGCTTTAGTGATGCGGGAGTTGAGAGTAAATGCTCTTTTGAACAGAGCATAAACACGATATTATCAATGAAATTAAACAAACAAAGTGCACTTTACATAATAATATAAATGTTTCATCATCATACACAGATATTAAGTTGCTTGTCTACCTCGTCTTAGCCTTAGTGGGAACCAATACATAAATGTGACGAAATATGATCTGATTATATTGTTACAAAATTACAAGTTAGTACTTAAGCCATCAAATGTCACAATACATAAGTTTTCTTCTTTTGAAGCAATGGTAATATATAAGCTTAAGAAAAGCCACGGTCATTAAAGATCAAACTGCACTGACACGGTAAACCATAAAGTGAAGTTATAAACAACCTGTCAACAATAGCTAATTATCAATTTTAAATATAACAGATGGTTATCTACAACTCTTAATATATACATTTATATGCTTTTGTTTGGTGCTCCTCCATGTAAACATTAATATATAGACTTATATGCACTGACAAGAGCTTTTCTCACTATCTCTATCTCTACAAACAACGAAAGAAGTTTGAAAAAGAGATCGATGGTACTAATGACAAACAAAGAACATCATCAAAAAAGTCGCAAGTGTGACTTGGACATTTCATCAAGCACTTAGTGTGCATAGCCCTAATAACAATCTTCAATCATAATCGAATAAAAAAAAGAATAACCCACTAAACATATTATCTCAATACATCCAAAGGACTACGAATCATAGTTTTAAGGACAAAAAATCTTCTTAAAAAAAAAAATCAATGAAGGAGAACATGAAACTATGACTAGTGAAAGGATTGTAACTCTTATACAGATGAAGGGATCGATGACATCAGGCTTGATTTGAGAAAGAAGTTTACACTGGTTGAGGAGTTCCTTTGCGGAGTCGGGGACGATGGGTTGAGGACTTGAGCAGTGGAGAATGAAGATTACGCTTTGTATTTGTGGAAAACCCTTAAAATAAAACGATAACGTATTCATTTTAATGACATAAATAGGTTAAACGAACTACCATTTATTTTAGCCAAAACCTGTTTAATAAATGGATCTTAAGAGGGTTATCCATTTAACACCCGAGCTAAATGGATCTAAATGGACATTTCTCTTTTTGGACCCATTAGAAACCCAATGTCTTAACATGCATCCCTAGTTGGTTCTGTTCATTCTTTGTTTTAAGAATATTTGTCGCACATATTTTTTGCTATCACTAACCAATCTTTGCCGGCATTTTGATTTGGACTAATCCAAAGAACATCCCCTAAGCAACAAAGATTCTGATAATATTTCTTCTGTGTAGTATTTGCTGAGCAAAAGTATTGTATGGCTGGTAGCAAGCATTTCTTCTTTTCTACTGTCCCAAATCTGACAATCTTTAAGTGTCTGATTAATAACATGATGAACACTCGTTATTGTTCTCATACAAAAAAAATTATTGTTCCTCTTTTCCAGCTTCTCAACCATTGAATGGGGAAAAGAGTCATTCAAAATTAGTTTTCATGAAATGTATATATGATACCATTGGTCCACCTTACAAGATCTTCCACTCAACGCATATGCAGTTGAAAGATTGTTATGAGATACTACTCTCCACCAAAATGTAAGTTAGGTGATTAGCTGCCAAATTGCTGGAAAGACTTTGCCTGCTCTGTTTTTCACGTTTTTCTTAGACTTTAATTTTTGTTTGGTCCTTCAGCTCGTTCATGTTCTCTAAATCAAATACGTTTTTTTTTATGTTATAAGCGGAATGTTTGTGGGCTTTACTTACGGACTGTTCCTCCAACCATGCATGTCTTTTATCCGATCTATTTTCCTGTTGATTGTGTTTGTGGTCTTTGCAAAACATTGTAAAGTACGTTGAATCAGGTTGCTTCGGTCCAGTTTCACGGTATTAAATATTCGATGCACCAAAGTTTTTTTGCCCTCCAGAGCCACCATAATACTTCCACTATCATCAAATATTTGAGTTATACTTTCTTATATAACAGTATATGATGTATTCAGTATTCATTACAGCTTTTGTATGAGGTACATTAATTTACCAACTTGTTTGAGAGAAAAAAAAAACAGGGGTGTGAGAAAAGCAAACTCCCAAGCAAATTATATATATAGATATAGTAAATATAAATGAAAATCAAAGAACAAACTAATCGAACAAAACACAGAGTATTATCTAAAACACAAAGGAAAAAAAATCCAAAATGGGTGCAAGATGGAAAATTATAGCCTAGTAAACATATGAAAATGCTTACTATATAAAAAGGAAAATAAGACTAATAATAATCGATATATTATCACAACTAAAAAAATAATGTAAGGCTAAGAAACAGTAGAACTCCTGAGATCAATAACGATTACATTTATATTTTCTTTGCTTCCTCTAGCAATTGCAAGCTCTGCCAAAATTACCGCAGCCTTTGTGGAGCTCGATTCCCTCGTACCTCTGTCAAATTTTTTTTTTGAGATCATTAATTAGTGTCATCGTAATTATATTAAGTCTACATATTTATACAGTTTAAGTAAACAAATTCAATTTAATCTGAAAACTCCGTAAGTCGCCAACAGGCCCGAACACTAGCTACTTTTGAAGAAAGACGAACTTAAAAAATAAATTAAAAAATGTTTAAAAATAATAATAATATAGTACTCTTACCCGGCTGGAAATTTATCGTAGAGACAACGTTTGACAAGCTGATATGTGTCGTCGTCGGAGACAACGTTCCATAGACCTTCACATGCAAGTACTATGAAATTATCTATCATAGTTCGCTTATGGATCTTCAACTGCTGATCTACACCACTCTGTACAGAAATTTGGTTAGATGCAAATTAGAAAATAGTTTTAAATACAAGTTACAAAAAAAAGCCTTTTAATACTATCCTTTGTATTGCATCTTAATTCAGATAAATAAAGCATTATTTTATTTTTGAAATAGACAAAAAAATTGAATATAAAATCAGTTATTGTAGAATTCAATAGAGAAAAAACATAAAAATTTAAAACTTAAATGACAACTAGTGGCTTCTCAACGCTAGCATTTATTTATTTATTTGTATTTTTAGTATGTAAAGTTAATATGTTGTTCAGTTTCAAAAAAAAAAAGAGTTAATATATTGAACATTAAACTTCGTTTGATTGAGATTTTTTTCTTTTTGATAGTACAGAAAAAACCTAATAAGGTGTTGTCTAGTGGCGCAACTCTTGTAACATGTGTCGGAGCCAATATAATGCATGCGGTAAATCTATTAATTACCTGGTGAATATGGATATGGCAAAGAGGTAAAGCGATTCCACCGTGAGAGTAAAGAACTGCCCTTGCGCCACCACGACAAAGCGTAATCACCTCCTCTTTTCCAACAATCGTAACCACTGCTTTCGCCGCCGCAGACCTCACCGTCCCCATCGCTTCCGAAAAACATGAGCTCATCACTTTGTTCCAGTCTGCCGCCACCCCGCATGCCGTTACCTCCTCCTTCACGAGACGACGCAGCCTCTCCTCGAAGAACTTAGCGAGCCTAAGGCCGTCGAAAATTCCGAAGATATCATAAGACGGGATCTCGTCGACGACCGTGGAAACTGCGGTAGTCATAGCTCTCTGCCGTCCCATGACCGAGACTACTCCGTGCCCGGCGTTTGTTTTTCTGTCTAGATCGTTAATTGTCACGTCAGCCATTTGTGAATCGACAGGGACCTTCTCTGCTTCCGATGTCGAGTCTACACCTCCTGATTAATAGAGGAACAAATGTATTAGGCGTCAGTGGAAAAAACTTTTCATATATTTTTGTATGTCTTATTTAATAAAAAAAAAAAGATAAAAGTAAATATATTTTCTTTAAATCAAGTTTTGATAAGAATCGAATGAACGACATTAAAGCTTTATGTCAATACTATCAACCACGGAAACTAACACGTACTACCTTTATAATATTCACCAGGAATGCTTTGGTTTCAGACGCATGGGCAGTGCTTAAGTTACAAACTGCTCTAAAGTAACTCTTAGGAGGGTTTATTGATGACCTCCTCCTTAGGTAAGTGTATTCCCTTCTAAAAGAGTTATTTTAATTCGCATCTCAAAACTTTTGATATAAAAATCTGGTAGTTTTGTACTAAAAGAAATTTAAATAAACTCATGAAAATTCTAAAACATATGAAATTTTTTAAAAAGCATATGGGAACTTAGAGTGACTCCTGTTGTGGAATCAATACCGTTCTCTTCGAGTTTTGGTAGTTTCACAGGTCTGCTCTCGCCCGCAACGGTACATCCCGGATCAGCCATTCTTAGCCGCTTGCTATCGCCGGAGTCGCAGCCGCCGGATAGAATGGGCCGAGTAATATCCTTTTCCATGACTATGATTCTACTTGAAGTATTCGACTTCTAACTCATCCGCTGAGGTGGGTAAAAGTATATTGTATACGTAGCCTATGCTTATGTGATATTTATGGATTCACATATCTTGTCGTGTCATCTGTTATTATTATAAAGGAAAAAACGAAAGACGGTCTAGAGGCTGCCACTTCTATAGAATACGTTTATTCATTGAACAAGAAAAGAGCTTAAATACAAACTATAATCTGGACAACTTGGTAGACCACAATGTTTGTCAGTATGTGATATTATGATATCTTTGGATAGCAATTCCGATTAGTCCACTTCTGTTGTAGTTTTCTTCCAACCAAAGGTTTTTTTTTATGGCTTGAAGACATTCATTCGACAGGAGCATTTAAACCGATTTCGTATGAGTGGACTTTATAGTGAGATAGGTAAGTACCTTTCTATATAAATAGGATATCATCTGAAGGCTTTTATTTTTATTTATAAAATACATATAGTGGTACTTTAAAAAATATGCAATAGCACAATATTTTATATTCTAAAGACACGTTATTTAATAAAAAAAATTATATATATATATATAGCACTCCAATTAAATTCAGTGGAGCAAGATGGGTAGATGACTATTACGCTATTTTGTTAAGTAAAGGAGTATCCAATTGTGATTAATATGAAATATTTTGGGAAGAAACCTAAAACCAAATCTATGCGAACTTTATCTTTAAACTCAAAATAAATAATATTGTACTGATCATTCGTGAAAGAATTAGACATAGATTTTGATGAAGTCTAGCAAGTAGTATCAACACTATTTTAACGCAAATCTGCAAAAAATATCAAAATAACCTTTAAATTTAGAAAGCTCCACCTTTAATAGGAAGAAATGATACATAATAGAAATCAGTCAAAAAAATTATTTTGGTTATGGGAAATGGATCTTCAAAATGACTTCACGATTAAGGGTACTGGAAATTTGTATCAAAAATTTTCTCTAACAATGATACAAAAATTAGGTAGATATTTCTAATGACTATGCAAGAATTAGGTGGTGAATGGCCTAATGATACTGCAAGGGTTGAATAAATTTTAATGGTGTAACAAAGATTAGATGAAGAATCACGTTGGTAATCATAGCAGTACAAGATGTATGTCAAGTTTCGTTGAAGGTTGGAAACCAAAAATTTATGTGATACTTGGTTTAGAAGAAAATCTGTTCTGAATGCAAAAAAATTACACACTAGAGTTTAGTAAAATAATATAAAAAGATATTTACCTCTCATAAGTATGAGGTGAAAATAGTCTAAAACTAATCTATGCGGACTTTTTCTTCAAATTTAAATTGGGTAATATTGTATTAATCATTCGTGAAAAAAATTGGAGATTACTTAGACGAAACCCAACATCAAAATAGTTAAAATATATAATGGCGGAGTCAAAAATAATTTTACCAAAATGATAATTTAAATTAATTTAATTAAAAATATAATTTAATAATATTAATTTAAGTATTTTGTAGCATTGACTATTAAGCTGTTTTAATGTTTATGAGAGATTATATTTGAAGCAAAAAGTATAGTATTGAAGATATTTAAAAACTAGTTGTTAAATAAAGCTTTAAAACAAAAGTAGAAAAAGAACTAAATAAATTACAAAATAACTGAAAAATAAATATATTATAAGAGAAATATATTTCTCTATAATAAATACTTTAAAATATCAAAAAATGACAATGTAAAAAAAAACATATAAAGACGTTTGAAAAGCAAATAAAAAAACTGGTTGAATTTATATGTTCATTGTGAAATTGGGCTTTTAATCCAAATTGTTTTTTTTTTAAGTAAATAAAAAAAAAGAAGGTGCAAAGAGGAGAATTGATTCTGGTTGAAAGGGGTCAGATCAAAGGATTCCATGCAACTGATCTACTAGCACAACATGTTTAAACCTAAAAATTTAGTTTTTTTTTTTATATTTTACCGGGGTCAGCTGATCCCTCTCCTCACCATGTAGTTCCACCCTGAAAATATACACATGGGTAAGTGAGAAAACATATACATACGCTCTCGGAAGACCATATAAAGTTATAATCCAATCCAATACGTAGACAACAAAGATATTAACATTTTTTGGTCATCAAAATTTACTTGTAAAATATATGAAAAAATGAAAAATCTATAGAATCGCAAACTCGGTGTAGATTTTTTTTGTTTCTTTTAAGATGAGCCTTATAGTGATGTGGTTGCCACTTTGTGGTACCTGGTCATATTCAAATGTGTTCACTCACCTCCCTCAATTAGGTTAAAATTGTAGACAAAAGATAAATTTATATTTGTTTTTTCCAAGTTCCAACCATGGTATTCACACTAAGTACTCGTCGGGTAGTTCAAATGCGCAAGCATTTACAACAATCTTACGTTTTATGGGACAAAAAAAACAAAAAAGAAGAACATTTTTTTTTTTGCAAATAGAGGTCCGTCCACTAACGGACACATATTATGTGTTAAGCGACACACGTCTGTTTCATAACTTGCATGCATTTTTGTTCGTCAAGTTGCATGTGTTTCAAAAAAGCTCAAATTAAATGAAAGAGAATAAAACAAATGGCGGCAACAATGCTTAGTTTTATGAAAAGTTTTCTTGGCATTGTTCCTTTTAAGGGGTGGTAGCTGAAATATACGATCAGGGATAAATGATCCACTCAAAATTCAAAATTGGGTTTCTTTTGCCTTCGTTGGTTAACTTTTGCCGATATATTATTAAACTATGTTCATATATTTTACGAAAATAAAAAGAAAGTTATGAGCATCCCCAGAATATCTAGTTTTAGAATTCTCAATATATATATATATATATATTAATATTAATATTTTATTTAAAACTTTTAATTTTAAGAAAAAACCAAACTTCAAATAATATTAGTATAATATTTCATTTTAAGATTTTTAATTTTATGGAAAATTTAGTTCAAAAAGTCTATACATAGGTATTTTCATTGGTTTTTCCATAAAATTAAAATTTTAAAATAAATATCTTATATATATTAAAACAGAAGTCATGACTTAACTTCATGTGTGATATTTTAAATGGACTATTCATTAAAAATATTTATTATATCTTACATAATTTAATAATAATATCTAATATCTTATTTTTTATTTGAACTAAAAATGGTTTTCTTTTTAGAAAAAAAGCTAACCAAATCTTTTTGATATCTTTTTAAATTTAATTTATAAATTAGTCTAGTTAAATTTTCATTATCATAAAATATCATCAGAAAATAAAATTAATTTCTTTTAATATATAAAATGAAAAGTGGATAAAATATGTTAATTCTATTTAAGGATTATAACAATTTAAATTGATTAATTTATAAAATATAGTTTACAAATATTTTAAATAAATTATGTTAGATTAATAATCATTTCTATCTCAAATATAAAAATAAAACTACTATTTTATTAAAATAGAAGTCAAAACCTCATTTCATAAGTGATTTTTAAATTAGACCACCTTTAATTTTTGTTTATTATTTTTCTTTAATAAGATGTTAATAATATATAAACTATTTGAAATACTTTAATCATAATATTTTATATATACTTTAATTTCAAATATAATTATAAATATATATATATATATATATATATTAAAATTTTCAAAAAAAACCGTTTAAAAAGATTTTAACAAGATTTTGAGTTTCAAAAATTATATGTAAATGTTTTCAATAATGAAATATTATTATACATTAATATAATATCCAGTTATCGTTTATAAAATGTAAACAAAACATTTTGTCATATTATTTATTATAGAATCAAATCAATCATATCAAAAAAAAAAATATTATGTTGATCAAAACATTTTAACAGTATCTTAATTTTCAGAAAAAAATGTATGTTAATATTTTTACTATTTTCTTAATTAGAAATGAACTGTTATTATGCATATATATATATATATACATTTTTTGTTTATAAAAAAAAATCTATCCTAATTTTATCTATCTTATAATCAAGTCAAAATGAAATTATTACATTGAACTACATATTATAAATTATATTAGTTTGATAGATTCACAAAATTTATTTTCATAAATAGAAAATATCTATATTAAAAATATAATATGATGACATACTACAATACAGGTATAAAAATTAACATATCTTATGTTTTTGTATATAAATATACTATGTAAAATCAATAAACGTAAAAATATTACTAAAAAAAAATTCAATTTTGAAGGACGGGTAAAAAATTAATATATACTAAGTAAATAATAATTTGCAAATATGTTTTTTCATGCACATGTTTCTTTAAATTAAATTTAAATACAACAAAATAAATATATAATAATAAGTAACAAATACATGTGATGGTTTTAAATAATTGACTATCTAAAACATGTGAAATATAAATTATTGTTTTGAAATAATTATATAAATATTTAAACATATGATTAAAATAATATTAAAATAACACAGTGCAGTTGCACGGATCAAGATCTAGTTAATATTAACATATTTATATAACCCTCAATGTTAGATATTTTGAGATGTTTAAAAAAAAAAACTCCATCAATAATATGAAGATGATGAATAGGATGCCGATGGAGTTCTCAAAATGTGATTAGTCATTAACTAAATGAAAATAATTGATGGGATTCTAATATCCACCTAATAATCTTGAAAATTTTCTTTTAGTTACTTAAAATAAAAATGAATGATGGAGTTTTAGTATCCATCCAATAATTTCAAAAATTCTCTTTTGAGATTTTATTGGATAAGTATTAAAATCCATTAATCATTTTTGTTTTAATTAGAAACTAATTAATTTTTTAGAACTCTATCCTCACACCAATTGATAAGAGTGCTCTAAGGAAAAAACACATTTTAATAAAAAAAAACTAGAAATTGATATGCGTTTGTCCAAATATTGATTTTTACCATTTTATAAATTAATGTATTTTTGTGATTAGTATTATATATTGTACTGTTATATATTTTACATATATCATC